CGAGGGCCATATAAGAATTCTCACACAAAGCCTCTATAATGGCAATGAGGAGAAGATACCAACTGTCGAGTACTTCGGAGACAAGATGGCAGACACTGCTTACGATGCTCGCCTTATCCTCGAAGGAGTCGCTATTTCTGAGACTAGGAATGAGTTGAGACTATTTATTCCGGGAACAACCGTTCCGGACGAAAATGAGTGGATGCAATTACTTGCAGGCGATCAGACTACGTGGCGTCGCGCTCTATTTACTACGGATATCTTCGTTCAGGGGTATCGCCTTGAAGCCAACCCACTACGTCGTCTTCTTGCCCCTTCTCGCGGGATAGTCATACATATAGCACAACCAGACGACTCAGACAAGACAGTTATTACCGTTGAAGAAAATGTCAGTGGAAAACAGTTGCCGACGATGAAAATCGGTCCCTTGTCTGGCAACGTCATTCCGTTATATCTTATTGAGCACAGAACCGCCCTAAACAGCCCAGTCGTACTCCCGCTTCTATTTACCTATCATCCTGAAGCGGGCTACGCGCCTATCCATGAAGAAATGGCTTCTAGAGACGATCGTATTAAAGACTTTTACTACAAGCTTTGGTTTGGTACCGATAGGCCCGATATCCGCTTGGATGCAGCGATGTCTCATGTCAAGCCTTGGGATGGGGGCGAAACTACCATCTCCAGTCCAGCGATACGTGAGTTCGCACGTGCAGTGGGTAACACTGCTGAGGCCTACATTGAACGACCTGGAAGAGATCATCTCGCACCTATGGACTTCGCTATCATTGTCGGCTGGAAGGCTCTCATGGAGCCCCTATTCCATGCCGTCGACGGGGACCTGCTGAAGCTTGTCCACCTCTCTAACCGTTTCCGCATGGTCCCTGGCGCGACTCCATTTAAAAAAGGCGACACACTAAGCGCAACTTCTGAGATCACTGCTATTATCAACCAAGACTCCGGTCAGATGGTTGAGGTTTGCGGCACAATCACGCGAGACGGCGGAAACCCGGTGATGGAGGTTACCTCGCAGTTCTTCTACCGCGGTATCTTCGCCGACTACAAGAAGACGTTCCAGCGTAAAGCTGAGCCTCAAGTCAGAGTAGCACTCAAGGGCCCCAAAGAAGTTGCCGTGCTGAAAGCCAAGAAGTGGCTCAAGTTAGAAGGAGACGCCGACGATCTTCTGTTAGGTCATAGCGTCGTATTCAAGCTACACACCTCGACCCGATTCAGCGACAAGGTCACATTTGCCTCCGTCGAAACTAGCGGCACGGTCGAGATCGAAATCCCGACTACCAAGGAGCTGGTCCGCGTGGGAACGGTAAAGTACGTCTCCGATGGGCCTTCGCGCGGGAACCCGGTCTTGGAATACCTCGCTCGGAACGGGTCTAAGTTGGACCAGCCCGTTTATTTCAAGCACCCGATCCCGATACAGAACAATTATAGTAAATCTCCGTTGGAGATTGAAGCGCCCGTCTCCAACGAGAATTACGCCCGTGTGTCGGGAGATTTCAACCCAGTTCATGTTTCACGCGTTTTCTCCAAGTACGTCAATCTACCAGGGACGATAACTCATGGCATGTACACCAGTGGTGCGGTCAGGAGCTTAGTCGAGACCTGGGCGACGGAGAACAATGCTCATAGGATGCGTGACTATAACGTCAAGTTTGTCGGGATGGTGCTGCCTGGAGATCGGCTTGAGGTTCAGCTGTACCATATTGGTATGGTGTCTGGCCTCATGATTATCCAGATTGAGGTGGTCAAGAGCGACGAGACAAGAGAGAAGGTATTGGTCGGTGAAGCCATCATCGAGCAGCCCACATCTGCATATATATTCACAGGTCAGGGTTCTCAAGAGAAGGGAATGGGAATGGAGTTGTATGAGAAGAGTGCAGTGGCCAGAGACGTCTGGGACCGTGCCGACAAGCATTTCCTTGATACTTTTGGTTCGTTTCATCCCTCATCTACCTAAAACATCTTGGGATAATATACTAATTTAGTCATACAGGCTTCTCTATTCTTAACATCGTCCGCAACGATCCAAAAGAGCTCACAGTATACTTCGGTGGCGCTCGAGGCAAAGCCATTAGACAAAACTATATAGCTATGACTTTTCAAAGCCTTGAGCCGGCTACGGACGGCAGCCCGAAACAGGAGAAGGTTTTCAAGACCATCACAGAATATACTACGTCGTATACCTTCCGCTCGCCGACCGGATTGCTCTCGGCGACACAGTTCACACAACCAGCACTTACACTGATGCAAATGGCAGTCTTTGAAGATCTACGAGCTCAAGGCGCCATTCAGAAAGACAGCATCTTCGCCGGGCATTCCTTAGGTGAATACAGTGCTCTCGCATCCATCGCCAAGGTGATGCCAGTCGAGACGCTTGTGTCAGTGGTATTTTACCGCGGCTTGTGTATGCAAGTTGCTGTCGAAAGAGACGAAGCCGGTCGTTCAAACTACTCCATGTGCGCCGTTGACCCTTCACGGGCCAGTGCACGGTTCAGCGAGCAGGCACTCAAGCGCGTAGTCAAAGCAATTGGCGATGTCACAGGCTCATTCCTAGAGATCGTCAATTACAATATTCGCAACATGCAATATGTCTGTGCAGGCGACCTACGTGGTCTAGACGTGTTAGGCCATGTTATGGACGGTATCAAGGCACACAATGTAGATGTGCGTCATCTCGAGTCGGAGGATAATAACAATCTACTGGTCAGAGTGATCGAAGAAGCAGACCGGCACTCGCGAGCTAAGCCTATGCCGCTGGAGCTAACACGAGGTCGAGCTACGGTACCGCTCCGGGGGATCGATGTCCCGTTTCATAGCTCGTACCTACGACCCGGAGTACAATCGTTCCGCTCATTCTTACTCAAGAACCTCGAGGAGAAGAGTATCGATCCGGAACAGCTCGTTGGGAAGTACGTACCGAACTTGACGGCTAGACCGTTCGAACTTACAAGGGACTATTTTGAATATGTACATAGCATGACCCAGTCTCCTCGCATCGGTAAGGTTCTAGAAGGCTGGGAGTAATTACAGGATGTCGTGATGTTAATAGGTGATGGGTATATCGAATATCAAAGTGGGTGGTGTATATCCCGGAAACCGGCGTTAAGAGATATGTTTTTTTTATTTTATTGGGGTCCGCATTAGAAAGCGTCCAATGAGGAAAATTCATGTCCGCTGTCAACGATATAATTAGAAGTTGTATCCCGAAGTTTTTCTCACTCTCCCGTACTTTTCTTTCTAAGCGACGTTACGACGGAACCCCCCTCCCTCCCCAATTTCCCTCCCTCGCATGGTTCTGCAGAATGCATGATGTGCCGAGTCACTTGACTCGGTGGTTGGGTTCGAGGGGTTTTGTCGTGATGTCAAGACTTACATATGTGATATGCGTCTGCTTGGCCGCAGCAGGGTGGCCGCACTGACTCTACGGATACGGTTATCAGCTCTCGCTGCATACCCTTTTGGGATTTGTATTGGCATTTCACTCGATCTGGATTTTTAAATTAAACAACGTGTTCCCCACGATATGTCAAATTGATCTTGCCAAGGGTGTTCTAGTGTGTCTTTACGTATAATATCGAGTATAGTCGACCCCGTGTAGTTAATAGAAAAAAAAAAGAATGTTAGGTTAAAATCATAACAGACAGTTAATAATACAATATGCCGAGGATTTTAAGGTCCATCATAGTACAAAGGTTTCTAAAAATAAACAATATTTACCTGGGTTGGGTACCTGGTAGGTAGGTAATTTTCTTTCTGAGCTAGATGTTATAGGCTGATTAATCCTTGTGTTCTAGTATTTCTGATTCGGGTTCTACAGTATGTTCTTTCTAAAATCTTATGGTGTCTGTTTATCCTAACTAGCGATTCCCCATACGCTGGCACCGTATAGCCCGTTATGGAGCGCTACCGGGTCACACTACTTGATACGGAAAAAATGGGTTGATTTTTTTTTTTTGTATTATGCTTATCTTTAACTTTGCAGAATGTAAACCTGAAGAACCACATATGTAAGTAAGGTAGGTAGTCAGAGCTTTTACGGACCGGTCCGTTAACGTTTCAACGGTTCTTTGCTGCTTGGTTGGCTAGCCCAGTCTATAACTGTTACAAGGTTGACTTTAACCGACGAGCCTGCATCAGAGTCACGTTACTAGACGGTACCAACAAAGAGCGTTGTACCGCAGCTAGACCGGGAACCCCTTCAGACATCTGGATAGGATCATGGGCAAAGGATAATGGGTGAGAGATGCCCATCCCTTGTGGATCTACGCGGGCCTAGATTTAATGCGGGAGCAGAGTCTGACATTGCAGTGAGGCTGGTCTGGCTGGTCTGGGGTCGTTAGAGGCCCGCCACTCGTCGATGATGCCCTCTTATCGCATTAGAAGCACTGGTAATCACTGGTAATCACTGGTAATCATGGGGCTGCTATAAGCTGTGCAAAAAAAGGACCGACCCCGACGTCTTCGTCCTAGGCACTACATATGTTCTAGACCGGCTCCCGAAGTTCTCGAATTGCTGCAAAGACCTCGTGGCTCGGCTCTGCAATACTCTTCCCCAGGGGCCGCAAAGGTTCACTGAAACCTTTTGTCAGACCAGAAAGACGTTCGATTCTGAGCTGTTCCTGATTTGTCAACTCGGTAGGTAGTCTGCGTTCTATTGATTGGGGGTTTTGGATTACTGGTATTAGAATCCGATGAGCCAGACATATTGCCAGATTCCCGTGATAAGATACATTGCCTTCGGCTAGTAATGGACTCCAGCCGGATAGATGGTTCAGGGTATTTAATATCTCAGAAGTATTTAATATCCGGCCAGGCGGGTAAGACGCCCACGAACTAACTGAAGGATCTCAAGTAAGCCTCTCTCGCTACCAAGATCCAATTATTAGAAACTAGCCACAGTAGCGTAGCAGAACCCTTTTTTCAACATTCTTTACAAGCTACCTCATGTCCACTGGTAGTTATAACTACCTCTCTCTACCAACATCACAATGGCGAGACAGAAGCATACACATAGCTTGAAGAGTAGGACGTCTCACAGCCACGCCGAGCATGTAGACTACTATAGCTCAACGACCACGACGTCGTCAGACTTTGCTGGTTTCGTGGATCCCATCATGGACGGTTCAGCTATCTTCGACGAGTTGTCCCACAAGAGGTAAGCTGACGCCGTAGACTACGTTTAAGAATATCTATCTAATTTGTATCTAATAGTCTCTACTGGATCGACGATACTGACTCTTCACGGAATCGTATCAATGGAGACGAAGCACCATTAACATCTATACAACATATATCAGGAAACATGGCATCGATGGATCCTTATCCAAATGCTCTGGATAAGTTGAGCAGCGGGATGTCAGATTTCTTAAGCAACCAGAGTGCGGATGACCAGTCAATGGATCGGAATGGAAAACATCGGTGTTGGGATCACGGATGCAACGGGCGTGAGTTCTCATCCAAGAGTAACTTCGTCAGGCACGTAAAGGAAAGATCAGGAGCCAGCACCAAGGGTGTATGTCCCCTATGCGGGGCGATTTTCACCCGTAACTCTGCCAGAGATACGCATCTAGCCAAGCAGAGCTGCAACAGGATCCGTCGATATTCCAATGGTCGACCGCGTCCCAGCCGGCTTGCAGTCTTGGGTAATCCCCGCTTAGCAGCTGCAGCAGCGGCAGCCACCCAAGATATTCATTGGCAGACGGTGGACTGGGGCGCAGGCGCCATGGGCGACTCAGAAGCGGCCGGATTCCCACCCCCGAACTGATGCCTACCGCAGGGCGCGTAGGGCGAGACAGACAACTCGCAGGTACTGTATTGGTTGGTTGGTTGTATTTGGTAGTTTAGATGGGAACGCCTAGGTACGAATAGGTTCAGGCGAAAGTTTAGGAGACAAACTGGTTATACCCCCTGTCATTGAAGATCCATCATCGAATTCAGGACAGATACATATGCGTATGAGAACATGAGAATATGACAGAGAGAGAGAGAGAGAGGGAGAGAGCGGCGCTACGTTGTCGGTTACAGTAGCAGGCGCAGATCACGATCACATCAAGATAATAAGAATAATTCCATCGATCACTGTAACCACACAATTATGAAATGTGGTAAAGATCGGTGCCCAATTCCTCCACCAGAGCCTTTAAGTTGTTTTCTTAGGTGGGGGGTATAATGCTACGTTGAAACCCTTGAAAGAATTCAACTTATGAATAGATAGGTACCTGTTTATTTAAATATGAAAAAGGGGTAATAAAACAAGTTTTATGTACGATGTCCGAATTATACAAAGTAATGTTGCCACTACCCCTATTGCCTATATCTTATTTAGACCAATTAAAACTTAGTGTTGATTCTTAATGTACCCCTATACCGTGAGTATAAAAGCGCGCTTACAAGTAGGGCACAAGCACGCGTTTCGACTACATAATCAGAAATTCCTCACGCCCGATAGGTAAAAGAAGTACCCGCGGTTCTAGCTATGGCACTATACTCCTTAGGTACCTATGTACTGTTGGGAATTCGAGGTATTATGTAGAGCATTCCCAATCCCCCAATCCCCAATCCCCACCTCCCGGAGTACCCCGGAGCTCACCCAAGCTATAGGGACCCACTTACCCCATTAGGAAATCGAGGGTGAGTTTGATGGCTTCGATTTGAAGGTAAAAGGTAATCAGAGGGTTTTCCAGATGCAACTTTAAGGTGTGTAGAAAAGAAGATATGTCACAAAGTTAATTTAAAAAACGTCATTGACGCGTATCCTAACAGAGATCGTATACGAGTAATGACGCGTGCATATACTAAGTAATCTATTTAGAGGTGGTATAGCTTGCTACCCATTATGAACCCCAGATTCCGGATGCCTACTAGCTCAGCCTTTAAGTTTACAAACTATGACGGAGAAGATTAGGTACGTTAGTACATACGTACGTAAAGTTAGAGAGAGTTTTATAATAACTAACGTTGGTTATAAATAAATAAAACCTCCAGTCTTTAATAACATTGAACTAACCTATAAATGACTTATGTAAGTCACGAGCCTATATCGACTTGGAATAGCTTCAGTTGACTAGTTTCTGCATTAACAGATGATTAATAATTTAAAAAGAGTCTTAAGTTTTTTTAAGCTGAGACATTCATTGCGAGACTTTGCGACCCCAATATTCGTATGTTATCTGCGAAAGAAAACTCCCTTACTCCCATCTAGAACCAATCGATACCTTGATGCCAAGAGAAATCGGCAATTATTTCCGTATTCAGCTGATAGTCCTCCAATGCGATTAGCCCTCTTGAGGATGAGAAAATAAAGGACAAGACAAAAGAAACAAACCCAAAGAAAATTAATCTCGTTGGTGCTGTGCTTACTACTTACCACCTGCATAGAAATGAATAATTAGTCCGCAGTACGAGAGAAGCAATCGGAATCACGCGCCTTGCTCCCTGCAATAACACCTCAAGGCCTCCCACACAGATGTGTATGATGAAACACAACTGCCGAAACACCTGCGAAGCTACCGAAGGATGGTAAACCACACTCTCGGAGAGTTTCACGCAAAAGTACAGGTTGGGTCGCCGTCGACCCAGTCCCATCTCATAGGTGCCCCCGTCATCCCCGTCATCCCCGTCACCTATTCTGGAGAGCCGGGGCGGCCCGAACCTACTACTTATGTAAGGTGGTATACCATCATCATCACTCACCATTTCATTTTTGAGATCGAGGTTAATTTCGGCGTTCAGGTAACCAAGGTACGAAGCGAAAAAAAAAAAAGCTTACCATCCTAGTTACCCAGTCTTCAATCGCCGTATCGGCCGGGCTTTCCGGGCGAGGAGAAGGGAGGAGGAAAACGTACGAGAAACTAACTCATCGGTCAGGTCAGATCAGAGTTACAGGTCAGCATGACTTGCGTTTTTTTGCTGGCCCCCATCACTCCCTCCTCCCTCCCCCCTCCCCCTTCAAGCGATCCCACGGGTTGCGGCTTGCGGACTTGGCTAGGGGACCCTCACGACCGAACAAATACGGGACACCGTCACACTATGACCCAGTTACTTTGCCAAGACTTTAGACATCTGCACCTGGGGGAGCGGTAGCAGCGTGTGCATCTGTCTGCGTGGTAGTAAGGTGGGTGGTGTGTACTTAGCCCCAGTGGATCGCACAACGAAAAAAAAAAAAAAAAAAAAAAAAAAAAGTATACGGCACGGCGCTGGGAGGTACCTCCTAAACCTGGGTATCTACGGATGAAGAAGGTTGAAATGGAAAGCTAAGAGCTGAAAGTGCAGATTTGGAAATAAAAGAGGGAAAAAAAGGCGAAATTACGGGTGCTCTCGGTCAAATTACTCGCTACCTATTGATCCTTCGCATCATCAAGTGCCGGCGGAATAGCAATATTCTAGTGGTGGGTAGCTTATACCAGGCCGTGTTGCTCCGCATCACCCGCTCCCTCGTCCGTAGTTGGGTCCACGTCGAGAGCGTCGATCACTTGGACACAAGGCGAACACGATACCGGGACAGGATCGACATTACGGCCCCGTCTCGCCGTGCCGTGTAATATATGTCTTCCGCTGGTACTCCCCTCCCCATATGATCGCCACCAACTCCATCAGAAAATCAGGTTTTTTTGACCCTAAGATTTCCTTCAACTCGCTCGCTAATTTTATCCCTGAGCCCCCCCCCCCCCATCAAGACTTCTGCCTAAAGAAGCGCCAGCATCCCTATCTATCCCCCTTCCCTTTCAAGCACTAATAATAATAATTCTTCTACTTCCTCGCTGCTACTACTCCTACATATTTCTAGCTGACACTTTATCTTTGATATATATTAACAGCGCATTGGAATTTTTATTAACTATTTTACTACTACTTGCTTTTTTCATTTTTGAAATCGCCGAGAGACATACATAGACACGCCTGATGTAGAAATGATGGACGGTTCCTTTCCTGCAAGAATCAATAACCATCCCGCGTCTTTGATCACCCCCGAGTATGTGAGTCCCCTTTTTGTCGATCAAGCGGCAATCAACTTAGTCGAAGAAGACCCAGCAGCGAACCTCCATGGATCGACGCGTCGGCGCATCCGGCGGGCTAGCATCGTCCCAGAAGGCGCCGTGCGGGCTGACCTTGTTCACGTCCGAGTCGAACGAAGAGAAGACGAGAGCCTCGTCTAGGTCGAGCCTGCTTACGTAGTGGTACTTGTAACTATTCATTGTTCGTCGTTAGCCCCCCGTTCCACCGCCACGTGCAAGTTTAGAATGTGGGATTTTGTTTGTACTTACTTGGGGTCGTACTTCACGACGCTGTCGTGCTTCTTTGTGCCACGGATGACGATCCTGGGGTCATTGGTGGGGTACACGCGCGCCAGGTGCGTGTCGTAGCTCCAGCCGTCGACGCCGCTGTGGTTGATGAAGCAGAGAGGCCACTTCTGGATGGGGTGGTCGATCGTGCGCCAGACGTTGACTTGGGCGAATCGCTTGCCCTGCTTGATCAGCTCGTCCGCCTGCTCGCCCATGATCTCTCGTACGCCGTCTTCTCCCGTTATCGGGTCTCGGTCCACGTGAGCGACGGGCAGAGCGGCGTGCGAAAGCTGGGTGGGCGCAAACTCGCCGGCCTTGTGGCTGTTCTGGCGGATGCGGAATATGTAGGGGACCACAATGTCTGAGCCGGTGATCTGCTTGACCAGCTCCGTGACCTCCTTGTAGTAGACATCCTCGATGTATTTCTTGCCTAAAACGGTAAGATTTCGTTAACAAGAACAGTCTAGATGTTTAATAGCCAGTTTCGTGAGTAAGTAAAAACGTACCTTCAGGGTCGTTACCAGCCAAGAACTGTTCGGGAGTCAAGGAGGACTTGTGCTTCACAATCCCGTATCCGTTGTTCTCATAATTTGGCTGAGGGTTCAGTGTTCGGATGTCCTCGACCTCGATCTTGACCTGTAGAGGGTCTTGCACATTGGTTGAGCCGGTAGCCCAGTCAATGTATCCTTCATGTCTGCCATCTTTAGTGCCATTCCACATGCCCATAGAGCCGGTGGTAGTTGCAACAGCAGCAGCAGCCATTTTAAATATGCAGTGAGAAGTCTAGAGCTAGAAAGAGGTCTTGATGATGATGATGATCAAAGAGGATATTGAGAACAAGCGCGATGTCAGGAAATGAGAGCTAACAGCGAGGTTAGATTCATAATGAATTATATAGCTATTTTGAAATTCCTATCTAAACATCTAGAATACTCAACATCTCTATCGCACAAAATCCATGGCGCTAATATCAGGTCACTGACGATAAGCATCAGGATTCATGGATTTCAGGATCTGGGGATTCAGGGGAACAGGGGATTAACGGATTGCGGGATTCAGGGATCCCCAAAGTCTAGCCCTACGAAATATTGAACACCTATGTTTCCCCACGAGAAAAAAGAAGCAGACACCACGGAAAAGCCATCATCTCAAATAGTTTGCGAAATAATCCTTTCGAATAGTTTCTACTCTTTTAAGCTCTATCGTATATGTGAAATATTCGCTCTTACTGCTCATTCCTTCCCCTTATCTTGAACTACTACTATTCAACACATCGACCCAAAAATGCCGGGAATAACAGAGCACCACCTTGATGTCACAGACTCCCGCACGGGAAAGTCTTATACAATCCCAATACAAGGAGATTATATTCGTGCTGTTGATGTTGCCCGAATTGGTGCTCCGGATAGTAAAGAAGACCTAGCTACCTCTTTGAAGGCTCGTCCACTCCATATCATCGACAATGGCTTTCAATATACAGCTTGCATGGAGTCAAGCATCACTCACATGTATGTCTCTATAATACCAGTTATATTTTCTATTACTCATCATCTTTTCCACTCACTTACAAATTCTGATGAACAGTGATGGCGTGCGCGGCACTATTCGATACCGGGATTTTCCCATCGAGAGTCTATTCCACGAATACGTTTATGAAGACATCATGCACCTCATTATCTGGGGCAGCATTCCCACTCAGCAACAAAAAGATCATGTCCGAGAGGTCATGAGCAATGCTATGAACCCGTCTCAAAGCGTTAAGGATGTTATCTCATCATTCCCGTACGGTTACCCCCCCGCCCCTTATTTTACTGATAAGGCAAGAAACGTAGCATGGCATAAGTATCATCACTAACTCCAATTATTATTATTATAGCCGCGATGCGGAGACGTTCCCCATGATCATCGCTGGAATGAGCGCTTTTGCTGCTAGCGACAGCGTTATCTGCAAGACGCGTCACCAGCAGAGCGCTATGTTTCACGGACACCTCGACGTGGCCGACGAGGCCCTCGCACGAACGATTGCGTATCTTGCAGCCACAATCTCGCTCGTCTATTGCCACAAGAACGAAAAGCAATGGAACGCCCCCGAACCAAACAAGTCGTTACTCCAGAACCTGCTCCTGATGATGGGTATCACAGATCCTCAAGTAGAGAGGTGCTTGGCCAAGCTATGGATCTTATACGCGGACCACGAGATGACCAACTCAACCGCTGCCGTGCTACACGCCGGATCGACGCTCATCGACCCGGTATCGGCGGTGACGGCCGGGATTATCTGCGGATACGGACCGTTACACGGCGGCGCGATCGATCTGGCGTACGAGGCGTTCAGGCAGATCGGCACGGCGGAGCGCGTTCCACCATTTATCGAGCGCATCAAGGCCAAGGGCGGGCGGCTGTTCGGCTACGGACACCGTGTGTATAAGACGCGGGACCCCCGCGTCGCGCTTATCGAAGAGCTTCTAGAGGAGCATCAAGATGCCGTCGATGCTAACCCCCTTTTACGCGTGGCCATGGCCATCGACAAGTACGCCAACCAAGACGCCTACTTTATCGAGAGAGGCCTCAAGGCAAATGCCGACCTGATGGGCTGCTTCCTCTATACTGCCATGTAAGTGCGACTCTACCGTAACATGACATCTCTCGGCGTGTAACAACCGGGTCTTGTCTTCCATCATATATATATATATATATATATACCTATATATATATCTACCCAGACAATAACAATAACAATAACAATAACGTATCCCCATGCTGACTTATACTACCTACCTGGTTAGGGGTTTTGACACTGACATGATCATCGCTATCACCATCCTCTCGAGGACTCCCGGCGCGCTGGCTCACTGGCGCGAAAGCCTGAGTAAGTTTAGTTTACCCACTCCACTCACTCCCTTCCCCCTTTCCCCTTTCCCCCCTTGCCCCCCTCCCCTCCCCCACGCCTAGACGTACCCCACATTTGAGATTGAGATTCTGTACTGACTGGAAGTTACCTACCATGCAGCACAACCGGTGAAGTTGTGGCGACCACAGCAGAAATACGTAGCACCACTGGCGAACTAGCGGAGGGGCGGCAGTACCCAAAAAAAAGAAAAATTTATAATTTTTTTGTACATACATACATAATCTATCTCATCGTGAGGCGATCTTGATCCGTTACAAGATGATCCATGTCTACAGCACATAGCTTTTTTTTTTTTTTAAAAAAAAAGCAAAGCTATTGCATAGTAAACTAAATAGTAATAATATTGGGTTCTTGGGTCTATATGAACCTTCATTATAGCGTTGCTATTAACTACATCCTACCTATGCTTTTTGATACGCGCATTGTACATGCATACATTTAGATTTCTCTAGGCTGATTTGCATTTGACGACTTGTTTCCAAATGTCAAAGATTATTGCCAATTAATAAATACCATCATCATCTCAATTAGGCTACATACTATGATCTATATATACTAACTACATGCTATGATCTATATAGTCCAGACGCCACAAATCAAACCCCCCCAAGCTGAACGCCGCAAGATCGGCGCGAGGCTGCGCTGATCATGACAGACCTGAGGGTTAAAAAAAATCCCATCCTCCTCTCCTCTCCTCTCCCCACATTCCCGTCCTCCATGACCCCCCGATCCGATGATCCGGCCTTACTACCTAGGTAGCCAGCTATCACCCGCCATATATGTATATACATACCTACGTAGCCCTAATCATCCATCGTTCCCTCATCAGCTCCTCGCTTCGCCACAAGGGTCTCGATTGGCGCGCATGTCTACTAATATATCGCCGACGAGCCCAAAATTTATTTTTTTTTGGTTCGACAATTAATTTAGTACCTGAGTTTCTACGTCCAGGGGCAGGGGGTCGCAGTTACATAGGTTAGGTAGGTAGGATACCTATTGAGGTCTGTCTCACAAGGCGCCCAACCAAAGGACATCGGTAATCTACGGCGTAGGCTGTCATTGGAAGCGAGTTAATATTGCCGATGCAACGATGGGATTTATTTTACATAGTATCTTAATTTACGCCCCCCTTATCGTGCTGCAGTTGCGGGATTGCAGGATCGGTATGAATGTGACATCGTCCCGTTCAGCCGGAGTAGGTACCTAACCTATGTAACATAGTGGTCTACACCTAGGTGTGCCTTATTATTTCGGTCCGCATATTATACATATAGGTAGTATTCTTTATATCTCGGAGGGGAGTGTAATTATCAAGTAACAAAGTAACATATCTCTCTCTCTAACTAGATTAAGCCCCTTGGACTATGTAGGGCCGTTACTAGGATAGATCCGCGTGCGGGCGAGATTCCGATTCGATACGATTAACCTTGAATCAACATCGTATTTCCCGGTGCCGTTAATCCCGGCCGAAATTATACACGTTGTGCTGTAAGTATGTACATACAACTACCTATACACTATACTATACTATGCATTAGGTACCTACTTTGAACGAAGCCGCATATGTACCTATTCCCACACACACGCGCCCCAACCCAACTACTACCAGATTATGAGCGCCCAGCATCAGATATTCTACGCAATCTGACTATACATATATCTATGCATAATCTTTCTGCATCCTCTCTGACTATTATCCCAAAGTGTACCATACATACCGTACCCTATTTTCTCCCCCATTCCCGTATTCCTTCAATCCCAGGGCTCCGCTACCCACGGTCTCGGTCGTCCGCGATCTGAATTCCATTCTTGTTCTGGGGTGCCAATGCTTCTCTCGTCACATCTCGGTTGTGTCTCAGATGGAAAAGGGTCTATGTACTAGAATCGAATCCTACCTTCCTTCCCGCCTGTGCGTGATCGTCGAGGATTGCTTACCTACATGCTTAGTCGATAACTCTCTCTCTCTCTCTCTGTGTGTGTTAGACTAGGGTGAAGGCGTGATCGGCGAGAGCTAGAACTCCGATGGTTGTCTCAGCCCACAAGAGTAAGCCCCTCAGTATGTAGTAGAGCACAGCATAGGTTGAGTTTGGGGCAATATTTTGCAAAGAGGTTCATGGGTGCTTATAAGTAAACGTTATAGGTACTAATAGCATGTACTAGAGATAAGGTCAGTCGGCAAGTCGTGTATCTTCTGAGGAGCATACACTACTGTAGGTATGTAGGGCTGGGCTGGCTGGTACGTATTTGTAGCATGACACGTACATAGAGCTGGTGGGTCGACACGCCTCACGAATCCAGCATCGCTACCACTACACAGATCCCGAATCTCCCGTTGACAGGACCCCTGGTTGGCACTTTATACCCCTGCTATTGGCGGGAGCTAGGGCCTAGACGAGTCCATTCTTGTCAGCATATGTTCTAGCCGTGGGACTATGAGCTGTTGGTCCTCAAGTCCTTCAAGGTTCATAAGAGGCGCCAAGACTTCTAGAGGCGAGATGGACAGACGAAAAGCCCTCTACACGAGCCACAATCTAGGCTTGACTGTCATCCGCCTGAAGGGCCGACAAGAGAGCACTCTGGGGGGAGGAGGGGGGGGGCGAGACTATGGCTCTACCGCGAACTACCGAGCACCGTTGTTCGCCCATACAAGCTAATCTCGCTATTCCATGGCACGACGTGACGTACCGGAAGAGTATTCTATACTCTTAAAAGAAGTTGAACTGCGCCCCGGAACGCTTTTGGCTGCGCTCTGCTGGCGAGCCCTTCTCCAGCTTTGACCACCACGCAGCTTCCAACGTGAGTTTCACGTGAGCTTTTGTCCCGGACCTCTATACACCGGAGAAACAGCCAATCATGGAAGAGAAAACAACAACAGTAGTTGTCGAGAAAGATGTTTCGGCGGTGGTGCCTCGTGACCTACCAGAGAACCCCAAGAGGCCCAGCGAGATAAGCGGCGACACTATCATTACCGTTACCGACGACGATGCTGTGCCCAAGGAGTCAGCGGACACTCCGCCGGTCGAGGAGATCCCGCCCCGGTTCACGGTATACAAGCCGTGGCAGAAGCGGTTGATCGTCCTGAGCGCCGCCTTCAGCGCCCTATTCGCTTCCTGGACGGCTCAGATTTATTTGCCTGCGCTGAATATCGCAGCCGCCGACTTGCATGTCTCTACCACACGGATCAATCTCACAGTCACCAGCTACATGATTCTGCAGGGCGTTACGCCTATCTTTATCGGCGGGTTTGCCGATTCCGCGGGCCGTCGGCCGGCTTACCTGGCGTGTTTTGTGCTCTACATCGTTGCCAATGTAGGCCTTGTTAAGTCCGATAGTTACGGGAGTCTCCTGGGCCTCCGTTGTTTCCAGTCTGCTACTATATCCGCCACGCAGGCTCTATGCCAGGGCGTCGTAGCGGATATCGCAACCAGCGCGGAGCGTGGCCAGTACACGGCTTTCATCGCGGTGCCAGTCACGCTGGGGCCGAGTCTAGGGCCCGTCATCGGCGGTGCTATCGCGCAGTATCTAGGGTGGCGGAGTATCTTCTGGTTCTTGGCTATATGTGGCCTAGTCAACCTCCTAATCCTGATCTTCTTCTTCCCGGAGACGTGCCGTACGGTCGTAGGCGATGGCTCTATCCTGCCGCGGAAACGTAACCAGACGGTAATGCAGCTGATCCGGAACTTGAAGAGGAAAAAGGTTGCTTCCGATACCGAGAGTAATACTGCAACCATTACTGAGACGACCGAACCCCTTCCTAAGAAGAACTTTGCCTGGTCCAGGTTCCTAACATCTCTTGTTCTCCTCTGCGAGAAGGAGCTTAGTCTACTCTTCTTATATGGTGGTTTCATATTCGCGGGTGTCTATGCTGTAGCAACCGCCGTTCCAACCCTAATCTCTGAGATATACGGCTTCGATGGCTTCAAAGTCGGTCTGATATACCTACCCATGGCCGTCGGATCTATATTTTCCGTCGCATTCGTCGGGAAGGGAATGAACTGGAATTATCGGCGACACGCGCGAAAGTTGGGAATAGAAGTAGATCGGACCCGTCAGATGGATTTATTAGATTTCCCTATCGAACGGGCACGGATCGAGGTCGCCATCCCGCCGCTCATCCTAAGCATGATCATCATCGCGGCTTGGGGATGGACCCTGGAAAATGAAGTTTCGATAGCTGTCGTATGCGTGCTGGTCTTCCTCCTCGGGCTAGGTCTTGTCAGTGTCACGAGTGTCTTCAGTGCGCTCATCGCAGATATCCGGCCGGGGAAGACGGGTGCTGCGAGTGCAGCAAATAACATCATCAAGTTCCTCTTAGGTGCTGCCATGGCGGCGGCTATCGACCCGCTTATTAGGGCTGTCGGGCCGGGTAAGGCTTACACCATCATCGCGTTTCTTTACTTGTTGTTGTCGCCTTGTCTGTACTTTGTCGTGAAAAGGGGCATGCGATGGCGAAAGGAGTTACGAGAAAAGGAGGGCGAGGATACAGGATAAAATAGGATACCTTATAACTAGTATGTATTAAGATACATATATATATATATATATATAGATGGCATTATTATAGAACTATATATAGGATATTTACTAATCAAGTATGAATCCACTACATATGCATCTTCTCTCCATATCTACCTACCTATTCCTTTTATGCCATCGTACCACTATCACGCCACCCTAGTCCTTTAAGTATGTATGTATTTATGTAACACCGGCCCGTCTACTCGCGACCAGGCTGGTTCAGCTTCATTATGTAAGAGTTACCGTGATGCGTTAATTATTCTCGGTGAGAGTGCTTGCGTAGGTTACTTTGCGTCGAGACATACAGGATCTCGGTGTGTTTAGCTTCATGTCTATGTATGTACAATACACTAACCTTACATACATACCGCGTGTGTAGATTCTGCAAGCGTGGATGTCCGGGAACATGGGTGAAGGAACTCCCCCAAGCCACGTGGTGGTCCACCTAAGAAGGTTGGTCATGTTTACCTCATAGGGGTCTTAGGGGTCTTCGGTACTCGGCATCGTGAATCTAGTCGGAGCAGGGGTCGGTAGTGTTTAGTTTAATACTGTCGTCCAATATATGTATGCTTTAACCTAAATTCAAGAACCGTCCGTAATTCTGACAGGGGGTTGTTGGAAGTTAGAAACTCTCTCGACCGTTCTACTAGTGTATGTAGAGCACGACTAACCAACATACTTCGTCATCGACGGTCGAGAATAAGTCTCTAACCTCTTTAAACATCGCGACAAGTACAAAGCTCACATCAGTTCTCTTTTTGTTCCCCTCATACCCAATCTCCCCCCGACTAGAATCCAGTGATACTGAAGTCTGTATATATCCATCCCCGGTCCCTAGTATTTCTACCTTCACCTCCTTAACGTGAATAAAATCATTACTAGCTTTGTATAGGTTAACCTTTTTAATCTACTAAAGTTGTTTGGTTTCAGGTAGATCTGAGGTAGTCACAGAATACCCACGCGCTTCTTTGAGATATACCCTGCCGCTTACGCAAGACCCTGGGTCAGTTTGAAACTTGATACAGTTTTACATACCTAGAGTCGATATGGATTAGACCGTCTCATATTTTGTCAAAATAGTCAAAGTCTAGAATCCATAAATAACTATGGTCAAACCCCTACTTCTTAAACGGGCACGACTAGGCACATATGCAGGTATGTCGAACAGTTAACGGTTCGGCTAGGGGAAACGGTAGCTAACCCTACGATAACCCCTAGGGGTACGATCCGAAGTAGGTGTTCATGACAAGAATTTCCCCTCAGTTTCTGGCCTGATTCTAGAAGGCTAACGGTGGTGCCGGCAGTGAGGTTGTCACTTATAATATATCACTCTGCTGCACCCCACTGTCTTACTACGGCTATGAAGCTTTAGCTATTAACTCGACACCCGCTTGGCATGAGTCTGCTTAGTCACTAGAAGTAAATATTGATAGTATTTTTAAGTATCTTAGTTAGATTGTGCTTTACTTTTCTAAGTTCTTAAGTCGACCTAAGACTTAATCATAAGGCTGGGTATGATAGGTAGGACGTAGTTATATAGTCCAGGAAACTTGAATTAAGTATGTCTTATAAATGATTGAAAATTGAAATTGTATCATCACTCTATCAAACTGAAAAGTGACGTGGAATTTCCTAAACTACCACGAGCCCCGACGTATATAAGAGGTAGGTGTTGGCAAATACATTGTATCGTATGATTTCCCGTTACGCCCCCAGCCTCTCACCTTTGTCAGCATTCTGATACAACATCAAGTTTCGAAACCCTAGGACCTGATCGTATACATGAAAGAAAATGACTTCAAGTATATAATTAACTTGAGTTGTTATTCTTCGTATCTAAATTTATTTTCCTTCTTGATAAGTCTAATGGTATATTCAATGATACCGGACGACACATCGAAACATTGTCGAAAGCGAAGCCTCCGACAATACAGCCTCTACCCCCAGACCTAAGCCGAACGATAGAAGAGAATTTTGTCGAAATAACTTTCAAGCTCCCAAGCAGCCCTGTTTCCCAACTCAATCATTGTACCAATCCAGCCGTCTGGCCTTAGCACTACGATTGCGCCCCGCGAGATGTCAATTCCATATCGGTGGTACGCAGCTCCGTCTTCCTTGACGAAATAAACACGCCCGATAGGCTCGTGTCCGAGTATTTCATATGGCGAAGGCGTAGGCTTGGGGAGAATTGTGATGAATTTCAAGTAACCTATTCCCTCGTCAGTCTAGCTTTAAAATATATGATCTCTGATATTGAGATACGCACTCATAAGAACGGGTCGTTCTAGGGCTAGCGAGCGTGTTATATCGTCGTACACCACCTTCGGAATAGCGGGTACTTGATTGCTCGTAAAAATTACGACGTTGAACTTTGTGGTATTAGGTAGCTCACGGATTAACCTTGTTGACTCGAGTGTTCCCGGGCGCAGGAGTGTGATATCCGGGCCTCTCATTCCTGGCTTAACTAGTTGGTGCGCGCTGATAAACGAACCCTCTACATTTAAGGGGTTATCTTTTTGAATATCATAGGAGATGCCAAGTCCATTAGTAAAAGTTCCAATCTCTTCTAAGACCTGCGCAAGAACCACGTTGATGTCGGCATCTGGATCACCTTGCCATTTCTCAGGTAGATGATTTGACATGAGCTGGCTGATATCTCTGTCGTACTCGATAAGTTTTGATATATTTACCAGCCGTTCCGTATGATATGTCTCAAGGATCTCAGGCTTTGCGCATCCGCGGAGGACAAGACTTAGTTTCCAAGCAAGGTTCACAGCATCGTGGATACCGGTGTTCATTCCTTGCGCTGCGGCTGATGAGTGGGTGTGGCAGGCATCTCCGGCAAGAAAGACACAGCCTTTGACGAAGAAGGATTCGGCTATGCGCTGTCCTACTGTGTAGATTGTCCACCAATCGACACGCTCAAATTCAAGGCGAAAGGGCTTAACTGCGGCAATAGCCTCCTTAACAGCGGCGGCCTCGTCGAACTCTTGATATGCGTTGGCCCGATCATCAGTAAATGCATAGCCAATTCTTGTAGCTCCGTGATCCAAGGCAGCCCAAAGCACGTTTCCATGTGTTGGAGACTCGATTGAGCAGTATGAGCGAGGTTTGGGCAAGTCAGTTTGGACCTGACCATCTATCCTCACCCATTGATCTTCACTAATAGAACCTTCGAAGGCAATGTTGAAGATACGCCGAACAGATGAGCGTCCTCCATCACAACCAATCAAGTATTTGCATTTCACAATTTCGTAGGCTCCATTTTGGTGGTTAAGAAGAACTGCTGTTACCTTATGGCCTCCAACGGGGATACTCCTATCAACTGAAGCGGTGATCAACTCTATCGGTGCTGTTACACATACGCCGTGCTGCTTCAACGCGTTTCGAAATATCTCTTCTTGGAACTTTTGTCTCAGGACAAGTGCGAAATCGAACGCTGTATCATTCATGTGTTTCATGAAACTCCACCCACGACCGTCGACCTCTTCACCCTGAGCATTGTAAGTAACCGTATCACGACAAGCGAAACAACTTGACAACAGCTCATCAGCAAGGCCTAGCTGGTCAAGCATCTCTGTTGTTCGAGGAAAGAGCGTAATAGCACGACCGTACGCATCTTGATCAGACTTGGCATGTTTCTCGACGATTCGAACGGAGACACCGCCGAACTTAGCAAGCTGGAGCGCCGTGATGAGGCCTACAGGGCCCGCTCCGATAATGAGCACATCAACACATTCCACGTCTCCCTGCATGATTGTAAAAATTAGAGCAAGGTGTGGGAAATCAACCCAGTTTTTGCGTAGGGGATCATTGATATAGCTACAAGCTCTTTGTCGTAGATATTTCAATAATCTAAGAGGTCTAACACGTAGTTCTTGGATACGCGACGTTTCGGAGAATTACAGGGAATGATAACAAGGAAATGTGGTGAATGATACATCGGGTATATTAGAATTTGGTCAAGTAATAAAAGGGGTTAAATGGTTCTCAAAATGGCAATTCGAAATGTTAGCCGAGAACTATTTTTGGACTTGGCTGTTACCCTCGCAATGAACTGACGTCGTTCTACCGGCACCTCTATTATAGGAGAGATTGACCTTATCGTAAGTATTCCCACGTGAAGTCATAAGTTTCATTCTTGAACTTGTCTTGCTTAAGGAACAATGGTAGCAAATAATAGAGTACCTACCTAACCTATGTTTAGCCTTCCATTAGGTAACTGATTTTGGTTGTAGGTTACAGCTCGTAATATAATCTAGTATCATTACAGGGGCAAGTAATGCTATGGTTCGTTAATAAATGCAATAACAGGAAAAGGTCTTCCGATGAGTCTTTATAATTACTTATGAATAATGAGTACCTAGATATAATTAGCTCTCCAGCAAAGGTCTACATGTCAAAAAATACTGTACCAAGTCGCTAAAGCAGGTACTCTGGTATTCCATAAAGTCACTCTGGATATGTATGTACTAATACCACTCGGCATTATTAGAATTGCCCTCATTAACGCGACGGTCCACGTGCTGCACGATGATAGTTGATACGAGGCGGTGAATATCTCGGGATACTCTAAATAGGGAATATGAGAAATGATAGTATGCACCTTTAGCTCATGAGGGTAAACCAGGTAATGGAAAAGAGGACTGAAGCCAATAGTCAAGCCATCTTCGACCATTTGCATGTGTGATATATATGCGTGATTGGGTTGGGGAGAGATCTGAAAGCTGACTGCATGCAGCTGAGAAAGCTCCAAATGAAAAGCTCCAAGTTAATGCAAGTCAATGCAAGTCAATATACTTAAGGAAAAAAGAGGAGAATCAGGGGATTGAATAATGGCAGCAATTTATTATCATCTCCAATTCATTGGCGTGCCTTTGGAAGTATCTTGCCGTATCAGTCGAATTTATTGATTGTGTTGATCATGATATATTGGAGTGGGTGGTTGAAAGTAAAAGGAAATATCTTAGGAGTTTCAAGACGGAAATATCCTTGTTTCTTAATAATTGAGTATATGCAGCTATTTAAATATTTGAATGCATTTAATAAGAGTCATCTAGGTTAATTCTATATCAGGTGTTAGTTTACTAGAGTACTGCATACCTTTAACTCTGATTACACGTATACTCAGCTTAGATATATATACCTATTAAGTGACTTACATACTATTACTTGCTGCTAGCCCCCAGACAATGCCCAGGTCAATCCTAAACGTAGTGCGAATGCCCCGCACACGTCATCATCCAATGGATTGGATGGTGCTGAGCTTAGGTCGCTATAGCTGTGACGCAGGTGTCTCGGTCTGAGACTAGATAAACGTTTTGTCCCATTTAGCTAATGCACCTCTAACGTAGAAAATACATAATTCTCTCTTTTATGCTTTTTACTTTTCTAGATTCTTCATCATCCCGAATCTAATAAACAATTTACCCTTGCCTAAACATTCCCTAACGTTTGTCGCTTTTAACCTCCAACATGAGCGGGGAGAGACAGCAAGGTAAGCTTGGCGATATGCCTGCCCCGCATGCGTATGATCCTCAGGGTCAAATCAGCAGCTAACCACTCCAATGTAACTGCAGATTTCGGCGGCAACAGTGAGCTCTAACTACGAATCAACTTCATACGTACCGAATACTTTTCTAACGACGAGCCTCTAGTGACGCACGGTGGCGCATATCCCGCTGGTGGTGGCTATCCTCGCTCTGACGACGATGACTTCCGCGGGGCAGCTGAGCACGCAAGCCGTCATGCGGGGAGCTCCGGCGACAGCGACCTGTTCTCCAGCTTACTAGGTGCCCTTACCCAGAAGAAGCAGTCCCTTGCCGAAGAAGATGTAGATGAGGATGATGCTGTAAAGCAGCACAAGCGCTTTTTCGAGCGTGACGACAATGACGATAATGATAACGAGGCAGACGATAAGAGCTTAGGTTCTGCCGCTGCCATGCAAGCTCTCAAGCTATTTACTAGTGGTCAGAGCGAGAGCGCCCATGTACGACCAAAACCCCGCTTGCAAAACGCTGTGTTACTAGATATAAGACTAACGGATGCGCAGGAGAGTAGCAGCCAGAGTGCTTTTGTAGGTCTCGCCATGGCTGAAGCTAGCAAGGTACGTATTCCTAAGATATTGCTTTTTATACTGTGGATACCGTGCTAAACCCTCGTCTGCAGCTCTTCGACCAGAAGGCTTCTCAGGGCAAGGTCTCCAGTGATAGTAGCAAGGAGTCCGCCGTGATGAAAGCTGGCGAGATGGCCCTAAAGATGTACCTGAAGAGCCAAGGCGGCGGCAAGGCGCAGTCCTCGGGATCAGGTATCCTCGGCCTAGCATCCAAGTTCCTAGCATAAAGGTCCCGCGAGGTCCCGTCCCGTGAGCTTCCTGCGACGGGACGGTTGCATTGCTAGCCCGTATATTTGAGGGATATTTTATATCATGATATTATGAAAGAAATCGTAGCCTATACTGGTAGTATCTAGCTGAACTGCGGTTCTGAAAAAATCCGAACAAAATTCTGTATGGAGTTGACCTCCTAAGAGCGCCGATCATTGACTTACTGAGCGAAGATGCGATCGAGATCGTGTAACCATATAACACCCCGTAATATGGACCCTTCCAGGCGCAGGGTCTAGACCAGCAAATGAATGCGTATAACGGCTCCTGCAAAGCCCACCAACCAACTAAACGTATCCTATGTAGCATATATAAACATGACCTCTTGTTGCATTTTGTATTGTTAAGCATTTGCCGCGAGCCCCTATTGCCGCCGTTGTAGCTACTACGCAACGGAATTTGCACCGCGACCCAATGAGTGGACGCTCGAAGAGAGAATGGCGAGGTTGGCGCAGTCAAAAATGGCGCTCAGTACATGAGAACATATCACATATACCATCATGTTAAAATTCCCGCAAGAATGGAGCTTCCTATAGAGAAAAAGCTACCAAATCTGAATGATAGGGCTGCAGGTAGAAAGCTTTGCCTAGGTACCTGTTATGACTGGAAGGGAACAAAATTGCTGCTGGGAGCTCTCATTATCGCGCTACCTCACTATATCAGCCTCAAATTAAAAATAGATAAAACCCTGTACTAGCATTCTTGTTTCCTTGTCTCATGATATACCGTATACATCTAAGTAGACCATAGCCACCCATTTTGTTGCCTGTGAGATATCCCCGTGAATCGTACAGTCCGAACCATATTCGTTCCCAGGTATCTCGAAGAAAAGAACAGGAAAAAAAGGAGAAAAGATCCTGTCGTGTAATAAGCTCGGTTGTAAAAGCTCAGGATACCGTGATTTTATTCCGACTCCATGCCCATAGCCCGACCAATTTGAAATGCCCGCTGTGCATAAAGCACTATCATATACCTCAGGAAATACTTATACGCCATACACCTCGGGTTATATTACCGTCTCACTTGAGACGGAAACCATTAAACCTCAAGAGACGCTCACTGCTGCTCCATGATGGGTATAGGAAGATGCCCAGGACCGGAATTGCCCATATTACCTCCACTATTAGCATTCTTCTTCTTCTCCTTCTTCGCCCATCGAAGGCCACAAGCGTTGCAAAGAGTCTTAGGTCCTTGGGGACCTTTTCTCCATTCTGGGGAATCAAGTGTTCCTGAACCATGTTAGAACGATGACCCGTGCGGCCTGCACATGATTTGTTATACGCACCACAGTCAGTACAGACATATTCTTCTGCGACTTTAAGCTTCTTCTTTTTCTCTCCTGTTCTAGGGTCTCTATCGATCGGTATTGCAATCCCAACGTCGCCCTTGATTAGGGTCGGACTAGAATTACCGGTAGTGATACCACGGCTTCGTTCCCCTTCAACGTATCTCAAACCAGTCAACATCTCGATAGTGTCGGTATGTGACGCGCCCTCATATCTTGCCATCTTATCCCTAATCGAATCTGGCCGGTTTCCTGCTGTCACCCCCTCGAGATTCTCCCTTGTTAATGCTACATTGAGCGGCGTTGGTCTTTCTGGAGGCGGCATGGCTTGTGAATCTACACTTGTATGGGTGAACAAAGCAGGACTCTGAGAGGATGTCATCATCGTATCCTCTGATGGAGCAATATCTGATCTGCCCTCTTGACTCGTGAACCAGCTTTGCTGAGATGCCTCCTCTTCCTCCTCTTCCCTTCGAAGCTCCGCAATTCGCCGTCTCAATCGCTCATTTTCGATCTTGTGCTCCAGGAATGAGTCTAATAGTGAGGCGTTCTTCGTGGGATACGGCCGTGACATCATAAATACCGACTGGCAGAAGGGCGACTGATTTTCCGGATTTGGCGCGAATTTAGCTGCGGCGATATGTGCATGACCGACAGATTCAAATATGGCGTAACTGCCATCCTTCTTTTTAAGACGATAGAACATGCGCAGCGGGTTCCCGGTGGCTATAGATTCGTTCATATCCGAGGTGAAGGTCCCAAGGTCATCTGGATGAATTAGATCCTTGACGAACCGGTCGACTAGCTCCTCTGATCCATAACCAGTCAATGACGTGACGCTTGGTGACGCATATTTAATTCTACCGTGGGCATCCAGTATCTGCAAAAAGTCCTTGAGCTCCTCTACAACCTTTGCGGGCCAATTTCTCCTCTTGGTGAATTCGGTCAAGGTACTTCCTCCTTGTAGAGTAGGCTGCGCGGGGGTAGGGTAACTTGGAGCAATGGCCGTACTCGGCGCCGGTGGGACAGCGCTATCACCGGTATTTGATGTAAATTGCATAGCGTCATTATGGATAAGTGCGACCTGCGGGTTTGCCGCGGCGGAAACTGGTGGATATGATTGCGGCGGGACAGCAGTCATATCATTAAGGCCATCAAGACTCATTGGCAAGCCGTCGAAGTTTGTGAACATGGAGCTATCGTAAAGCGCCATCATTTCGTTCTGGTCGGCGGCTGTCATCTAATGTATAAAGCTCATTATTAGTAGGGTTAGGGCATAAAGTTTAAGACTAGCGGCATTCGCCACGGCTGAGACATGAGAGCATACTGCCGTTAGTACTCACCGGGTTCAATGTAACCGGCGCAGTAAACTCAAATAAGTCGTTGGGATTTGGTGGTGGTCCGTGGTCCATGATAGCGATAGTGGGTCGTGGCGGCGACGGAGGCGGCAACTTGAATCTGAATTGTAGTTGAATGCGACGCAGCAGTAGTGTGTCTTATTACTGGGGAATGGAGAGCACTCGGGTCTCTGCAACGAGGGCATCTGGTCGATCGCACTCGAACAATAAAAGGACGAGTGGGAAGAGAAGATCAGTTAGTCGAATTCGATGAATTATGATTTTAAGATGGTCGAAGATGATAGAAGAATTTTAATAAAAAAAGAATGAGGGAATCCACACAAATATGAACCGGGTATCCCGATGTGGTGGATTAGGTATATGGTAGTGGTATATGTAGTGGAATTAGATATGGAAGAGCCAGGTAGAAGATGAGAGATCATAGGTTAGGTTAAAGGGTAGCTAGAGGGTAGCTAAAGTGTAGGTAGGTAACTTCCATTCAAGCATACCTATGATGTTAAAGTATACCTACCTACCTTCTAGATGTTAAACTGGGGTAGTAGCAATAACAGCATGAGGGATTGATAAAGGGGGCAGGGGCATATCGAAGAAAACGGGATGGGATTTCACTTTCTCGATTAACAAAATGGATTGCCGTGTGACCTAGAATTGTACTTGTACTTGTACGGAAGGTCAATTACTATATGTGCATACATACGTTACTAACCTGGAAGCTACTACTACATAATAGTGTACTACGGCGGTAGCTCCTTACGTACATACCCATTCACAGTACGTCAGAAAGCCAAGGCGATCTGAGAAAAAGACCCATAGGTTGGACGATCGCTAGGTCATTAATACATATATCTACTTACATATACTACCTACTTCTTACCTTACTACCTTCCATACTACCTATGAGGTAGACATTTTACTTTAGGTATTTCTGTACAATGCCGGCCATAGGGAATTTAATTTTTTATGTTGTATGTAGGTTTAGATGAGAAAATCAGAATATACTATATAATGCAGTCCTTTTTTATATTAGTTTTAAGTATGCCATTCAATACTTGCCAATATGGAAACCTGCACTTCCCCTCCTGTTACGTCTATTACGTCTATTACGTTTACCAGGGTATGTTGTTATACATAAAGTGGAACTACACCGGAAGGGCAGATCTAGGATTGAATTTGCCCGCTCTTACTTTCCGGTGGCCTAAGCAATTAAGTTTAGGCTGCTGCAGGTACTACCTTAGTACCAGATATCCGTTAGATGTACCTAGCTCAACTTACGTACAATTCCTAAGGCGCGTTCCCCTCCAAAAATTATACAACGACGCGTCCCATTGAAAATTAATTATAAGCAACTTTATAAACCACTTCCACCACGTAAAGGATCGGATAAAGAAATACGCATCTCAAACATTCCCATTAATTACCGAAGCCCTCTAGACTATAACTATTAGATAGTATCAGTCTCATAGTATGGGACGGCCGCTTTGTAGTCCGGAAAACTCGGGACGTTGATCTATGATCTATCACAATGTCTAAGATAGACAAACTATCCATTTCGGGCGTTCGATCCTTCAGTCATCTCACTCGAGAGACTATCCAATTCAACACTCCTCTCACTCTCATCGTGGGGTATAATGGTTCAGGTAAAACTACCATAATCGAGTGTCTTAAATATGCCACCACCGGCGAGCTACCTCCCAACAGCAAGGGAGGAGCTTTCATTCACGATCCTAAGCTATGTGGAGAACGAGAGGTTTTGGCGCAGGTTAAGCTCAAGTTCAAAGTTCCTCCTGATACTACTTATGTGGTCACCCGTAGTCTACAGCTCACCGTGAAGAAGACCACGAGGTCCCAGAAAACCCTCGAGGGTACCCTCCTTACCGACCATGGGGGTGAAAAGAACTCAACCTCTTCTAGAGTAATTAACCTCGATACTGCCGTTCCTACCAGTCTAGGTGTCGCCCCAGCTATCCTCGACGCTGTAATATTCTGCCATCAAGACGAATCGTTATGGCCTATGAGCGAACCTTCCGCTCTCAAAAAACGGTTCGATGAGATCTTCGAGGCCATGAAATATACCAAAGCAATTGATAACCTCAAGTTGCTAAAAAAGAAACAGGGGGAAGACCTACAAAAATATAAGATCATGGAAGGCCAAGACAAGGCCAACAAGGAGAAGGCCGACAAATGTGAAAAGCGGTCTCAGGAACTATTTCAAGAAATCGAGCGGTTACGGAAGGAATGTGAACAGATGGAGAAGGAGAAGAACGAGGCTGATCAGAACGCTGTCGAGATGCACCGGGAGGCGAACAGCTTTCTCAACATCGTGAACGATTTGAAGAGCAACCAGCGAGAACTTGGCTACCTTCAACAGAAATTAGAGGAGACGAAATCTAGAATGACTGAGATGGACGAGCCCGACGACTGGTTGCAGGACACTTTAGCACAGTACGAAGATCGGGTCACAAGACTCGAACAGGAACACAAAGAAAACATTGAGCAATTCCGGCAGTTCCAAAAGGATCACTCGAGGACTGGTGATGAGATAAAAGAGAAGCTAGCAGAACAGGGTATGCACCAATCCGACAAAGCCAAGTACGAACGCCAGCTTGCTTTACGGATCGAGCACATCCATCAAGCAGCCCAATTGCATAGTATTCGTGGGTTCGATGGAGATCTGGATGATCGCAAGGTCCAAGCATTTCAGGAGCGGATTCAAACTCTTCTAGCAGACAAAAAGCGAGAATTTGAGAGTCTACAGTCAGAAAATGCTGACGAGCTTGAAAAGAAGAGAGCCGCCATTGGCGACTTAGACAATCAGAAGGCGCGCCATACGCAAAACCGCGTTTTTGCGAGGCAAGCAATTGGCAAGATAGAGAAACGAATTGCAGCCCTGCAAAAAGACCTCAGCTCTGTAGAAGTTGACGAAGGCAGTAAGGCGTTACTTGACGCATCTTTCAAGGACGTAGAGCAACGGCTTGGACAGGCCACCCAGGAATTGCAGAAAGGTGACTTTGATGCAAGATTACAGCAGGAAGAGAGCAAACTACAACAACTCGAGGCTGAGAATAGTAAACTTAAGCTCGAACTCATGGAATCTACTAAGCTCCTTTCTGACCGAGCACAATTAGATGTTCGCAAGATGGAGTTGGCTGACAAGAAGCGGAAACTAGATACACTCACCAGCACCTGGAGTGATAAGATATCTAGCATGGTCAGCGGCTCGTGGGAACCTTCAAACATCAGTCGCGAATTTCAGAATGCTTTGCAGCTAAAGACACAGGCCTATGACGAGTCAGTCCGAAAGCGCGACGATACTGTCCAGCAACTTAAGCAAGTGCAGTATACACTTTCTAGTTCACAGGCGACGGCCAGGAAGCACAATGAAGAAATGGAGCGATGCAAATTAGCGGTACTTGATGCGCTTAAGGCGGCAGATTCTACATCCGAACCAAGCGTCGATAAGTTACCTCAAGAGATTGAGCGCCTTGAGGAGGAGATCCTTACCTTGGAAAAGGATCTAGCCCTCTTCGAACACTTCAAGGACTACTATCTAGAATGCCAGAAAGTGCTAAATAAACATAATAGGTGTAAACTCTGCGATCGCACCTTTGTCGACGTAAGTGAGAAGTCGCGCTTGGTTAAAAAAATCAAGGAAGCGCTCGGAGAAGCTAAGAAGGAGGAGATGCAAACCGAGCTAGCTGAGTGCGAAGAGTTATTAGGAAATCTCCGAGCTGTTCGTCCTCAAAGCGAAACATACGCTAGACTAATGTCAGAAAAGGGCGATACTGACAGAGAGATCCAAGTAGCTAAAGAAAGAGAAGAGGTTTTAGTGCAAAGCGTTGAGGAGATGGACGAGGTTGTCCGAGGAAGACTAGAGGAAAAGCAAGACCTCGAGTCAATGAGCAAAACGGTGCACAACATCTCTCAAACACAGAGAGAGATTGAAGAGGCTGAAGCTCAGGTGGAGAGTATCATGTCTCAACAGCAGTCCAGCGGTGCGGTTCGAAGCACCCATGAGATCCATGAACTGCAAGACAGATGTGCCGAGCAGATGAAAGGAGTAAAGCACAGCTGTTCGCAGCTATCAGGTGATAGACAACGTATGCGAGATCTAATAAGCTCTCTTGAACTTGAGCGGAGTCGACTAAGCAATAGGATCAGCGATGCTAGTCGGCAGCTTGAGAGGAAAAAATACTTCCAAGATCAGATTCAAGCTCAGAAAGATGATATGAACAAGCAAAAAGAAGTTATCCAAGAAGCAGATAAAGAAATAGGGTTAATCGAGCCCGAGATTTCCAAGGCCAAGGCTATCCGAGATGATACACAGCAGAGGGGACGTGTAAAAGAAAAAAAAGCTGCTGATGAGCGTGACGGACTTGCGGCATCGGTGAACAAGCTCAAGTTGGTTAATAATGATATACAAGATTACCTAGATCGCGGTGGTCCAGCGCTCCTTGCTGCTAACGAGCGGCAAATTCAGTCACTCGATAAAGTCATTAAGCGTATCGAGAAGGACATGAACGACTTGACAGCGCGAACCAACAAAATCAAGGAAGAGGTCAGCAATAGTGAGTTGAGAAAGAAGAATATTATGGATAATCTCACCTACCGTAAAACTCTTCGCGACATCGAAAAATTCAAACGAGACATCGAAGAGCTTGAGTCTCGTAATGCTAACGAAGATTACGAACGACTCGACGCCGAGGCTAAACACTGGGAATCACGAAGCCATATGCTAAACGCGAATATAAGTTCTATAAAAGGGACAATGATGAGCAAGGATGGCGAGCTAGGGCGTCTAATAGACGAGTGGGAAACCGAGTACAAAATGGCAAATGACAAGTATCGCGAGACGCATATCAAGGTGGAGACAACCAAGGCGGTGATCGAGGATCTGGGCAAGTATGGCACAGCGCTTAGCAATGCCATTATGCGATACCACGCACTCAAGATGGAGGAGGTGAACCGGATTGCGGGCGAGTTGTGGCAGAGCACATATCAGGGCACCGACATAGACACAATCCTAATCAAGTCGGACAGCGAGGTCACGACGGGCCGCAGCTCATACAACTACCGAGTTTGCATGGTGAAGCAGGACACTGAGATGGACATGCGAGGAAGATGTTCGGCCGGACAAAAAGTACTAGCAAGTATCATCATCCGCTTAGCATTAGCAGAATCGTTCGGTATCGGCTGCGGACTGATCGCGCTTGATGAGCCCACGACCAACCTCGACCGCGATAATATTCGAAGCTTAGCGGAGAGTTTGCATTCCATCATCAAGGCGCGAAAGGCGCAGGCCAACTTCCAGCTCATCGTCATCACACACGACGAGGAATTCCTCCGACACATGCGCTGCTCAGATTTCTGCGACTATTTTTACCGCGTGAAACGTGATGACAAGCAGAATAGCGTTATTGAGCGCGAGAGCATTTCTACTGTCCTTTAAGGCAGAGAAAGGACTCGTGTTTGATAGCTTAGTACTTGATTGAAAGATGGCCGTTTATCGTATTCTGTTGGTTGCTTGCATTGGCGCTTCGGATTTAGTTTGCGCTGTAACATTTTGCTGGCGCAATGCGAAAAGACTGAGAATCTGATAATGGACTACAGAATCATGTACCATACTCTAACCAGCTTCACTAAGGGAAGCTTAGAGACTCGGCGTGTATTGGAACGAGCATTTCATACGTGTTTACGGATCTAGGTAGCCAACATAATAATATCACGATGTACGCACAATCCTATCCCATCGTCATCAATACCCATGCAGTGAACATTTTATGCAACGATTAATCCACAGCGTATAAATGCGAGCCAGGGTTAAACCGACGTGTTGTCCATTCATACACAGTATCCTATGTCACGGCAGAAAATGACTATACTGCCGTCCCCGACGGTCCATAATCCACCCCCGTCTGGTATCAAGTCATCAAGTCACAAGTTCCGAAAATCCCAAGACCGAGCGAGAAACAAAAAAAAATACAGTATACCCCTTTCCCTTTCTCCTGTGCCAGTTCCAACCAAATTCGACTTCGGAATACGGTCCTTATCTTACGTGACTAGCCACTGAATCGCAACCGGATAATCATTCCTTACTGTCTTCGCTTCTGTAAATAAACAACTACAGCCATCTGCGGAGATTAGGGAGCCTATCCTAGACGCTTCCCTGCACCCCTTTCGCCTCTCCCTTGCCATCAGAAGAAGTATCCATAGCCTCGGCCTCGGTCCGTCCTTCTTCGGTAGTCGTCTCGGGCGCCAGTTCCTTATCCTCTTTCAACTTCTTCGCTCCCGCAGCGCCCTCGGGCTCGTCCTCCGCCTCGCGTTTCGTTTCTCGATCGCTGCCTTCTTCTTCTGATGCCTCGACGTCCATCTTATCGCCCGCCCCGTCCGTCTTCGGAGGACTCTTGCTGCTTCCACGGCCCCCTACTGCTTTTCGACCAACCGCTGCTTCGACGTCGATGCCTTGCATCTCGACGCCGCCTGGACTGCCGATCGTAGTGCTCCCGAGACTTGTGTTGCCGTGCTGCGGACCCATGTCTTCTGGGCCAATTTCCTCGGGCCCCCGCGCGTGCGGCTTCTCTTCATCCGCGCCGGTTACCGAGCCTAGAGGAGCGTCGGCGTCTACGGTAAGGGTGGCGGTACCGCTAATAGAAGGAGGGGTATCTACATTTGGAGGAGACTGGGACTTCCTCTCAGATTCGGGACTGCCGGATGAAGAAGTCGGTGTCGCTACATTTTGAGGGGATTCGGTGCTCGGAGAGGTGGATGCTCGCCGATGAATCTGGGCGTGCGGGTTCCCGCCGTGTACGTGGTGGCTAGGCACAAGTTGGCTGACGGGGACCACACCGGCGCGTTGTTCCTGCCTCAGTAGCTCGCCTTGAGTTACACCTATACCACGAGCGCCCATTGAGGGGATCCCGTTGACCGACACTGATACCGTCTCGATACTGCCGACACCATTGGGACCATCGATAGTCTCAGTGCTTTCCGTACGTACCTCGCCTTCGAGATCACCGCCCATTGGGCCGACTACTCCGCTATTCTGGCTGTTAGGACTTCTAGTTCCCGGTGTTCCTAGCGAGGATTGCGAGGGCCCACCAATTCCATGCTGATTTGGCTGAAGCCAGGGGATGGGAGTCAAAAGAGCACCGCCTAGAGCTTCGTCACTACCAGGTGCAGCGAAGGGCGACGGTGAGGCTATGGGATCGGATATTCCATTTGTTAGCAGCGATGCTGTTTTCATATCGGGTATCGCTGGAGGGAGTGGATAAATGTTAAGACCCGAAGTCACATGGACAACTCTATCGAGGGCATGAAGATATGTTGGTAATGTACGGTAGTGATTTCTGGGTGCTAGGACAAGCTCTGATAAGCGTTGCAAAGTATGTGGAGGATACTTTGGGAATGTGGATTTTAAAGTAGAAGTTATCTCGGTAAGCATAGAGATGATCTGTGGTGGTAGCGTGCCCGGAGGAAGAGTTGTAGCAGAAGCAGGAGCTGATGTAGACGACAGGTTTACCCGCGGCGCAATGGGTGTATTTTCTTTATTATCTTGAGAAGATGCTGAGCTTGGGGGTTCTAAAGGCGACGACGGTAGTGGTGACAGAAAGTTCTCTGTCGGCTCTGAATAGCGTCGAACTAAAGGTGGATGTGGTATCGAGGATGGAATAATAGTAGTAGCAACGGCCGTGGATGGCAAGTTAGGTATTGAGAATTCATGATGTGTGATCTACTTGCAGAGTTTAACACTTGATCGCCTAAAGTTGACATATAATACCGACCTTTTCGATTCGAGCCACTATTCCTGATAATAAAGCTGGCCATATTGAACTATTCCCAATAGTAAGAGACCCTGCCGCGAAAGTGAATAAGAAGGCCATTGAGGGTATATACTTACAAGTCAACCGAACCACCGTTCGCAATTGCGCGTAAGATATCCTCCTCATCAATTTCCATCATATCGGGTAGTATTAAGGCGTTACGGTTGTAAAGTAAGTATGGTGGTAAGTATCTAAGTAGTATGTAGATTTTTGTGGTGATGCCGAATCGCGTGTTAAGCTTCTAAAAGCTTCGGTATTTTTTTTTTGACGTAGTTGCCTTTGATGCGCGAATGCGCGTTTCCATGCGAATTGCGTGGGGCCTCCACTAATCGATTAACTAATTCAATATTACCTAAGGTACCTAATTACCTCCTAGCCGGGAGGTAGCCCTTGCTACCCGTGGCGGTGCAGATCGTCCGAGGCTGAGTTCCAACTTTCAACTTCCAAGCCGCCATTAGAGATTTTTCCAAGATTCAGCCTGGTCAACGGTTTGAGAATTGTAGGGTATTCCTGTATGTACATATCAGGTAATCTATGTATTATATGCAATTACATAAGGCAGACATTATATTTCTTCGGACAAGTTCTTCTCTACGTGTAGCCATTAAAGTATAATTTACATTAACTACCTAGTTAGTTATACATTTAATTAGTTAATCCAAATTACAGATTACCTAAGTTGTGGAAAACCAAATTTCGTTTGATAAATCTGTAAAAGAGCTCTGGCAAGGATAAGACGTAGCCAACACGAGGGAGTGCAAAAGGCCGAGTTGTGAGTGTGGAGTTCCGTTTCAGAGTTTATTAGTCAATTATACTATAGTTTCTCATTATAACTTGCCCACTCCGACATTTAAAAGAGGTTGCATTGTAAGTGCATAAGAGTATCAAATAATATTTATATAGTAACTATTTCAATTTCAAGTTTCAAGCCTTCACAACAATTGTAATAGCCTACAACTTACATAAAAGGATGGAGACATTAGGTACATTAGGTAGCTTAATGATCAACATTGACCATCTAAGGGGCTGAGCCATCTTGGCATTGTGCCCTACCCTGTCTACCTCATATTTCCATGGATCGTTCTACGAGCGGGACTCCGCTAGGCTGAAAGTCCCTGTGCATCTGGGACTACCCAGATAATAGCAGGTCGTAAATAACTTGCTGCATAAGGGTCCTCACAGGGTATAGGTAGTAGAATGTATTACGTTGTACAAGTGAGCCAGTTCCGTATTGCGTGTAAGGCTTTTTCGACGAGAAAACCTCCGATCAACCTAATAGTTTTATAATACCTACAAAATTATTAAAGTGAATAGAAAAGAATATATACATACCTGAGCACAGTTCCGCCAAGTAGTCTTAGTTGTCACACAGACTCATAAATACGAAGTCGAGGCGTTCTCGAGTAACCAGGGACCTCATTGGACATGAACAACCAAAGAAATTTATTTGTATGTATACCTCCTTAGGAGGTATCCAAGTACATATCCAATAAACCACCAATTGATAGAGATGATATAGATTAAGCATTAGATACACGTCATCTTCATTATGAGTGATGCATAGTTGAAGGCATAGTAAAAGATACCTGATGCCATGTCGAGGGTTGCATACATATGTACGTATTTTTCGTATGAAGGTAGGGAGAAAAACGGTCGAGATGCATGGCATAGCATTAGCATCAGGGAATGTCCTTTCCCGACATCAGGAATGGAAATCTCTAAAAGTAGAGTTCGCTAGTATGACACTAAGCATGTAACAAATTTACTAACAAATGTCACTAACAGAAGTTACCGAAAAAAAAGTCCACATCCCCACAGGTACTACAATGCCCGTAGCGCATGGCCTTCATGGCTCGTCCTATGTAAATATGTACCTACCTAACTTACCCCCGTAAAAAAAAATAGCCCCAGCTCTAAATGTCGAAGTCAAATGTCAGCACAGCCCATTTGAAATTCGGATTGAATTACAGCTGTTGATCCGCGTCCCCGTCCACCCGTCAGCAAAGAACATCTGACATTCATTCAATCCGAATAACCGTTCAAACTCAATTTCTCATCCCTTTCAACTATCAGACGTATCAGACAAAAGAAACAACACAAACGGTATCGTCGCATTTCCTATAGAGACATTTCCCTCTCTCCCTATTTTCCGTCTTAGTCTCCAACTGCGCCTCGTTCTTCAAAGCAGTAAGCAGCAAGCAGCAAGCAGCAAGCGACCGAACTATTAGCTGCACCTGTAAAGCCACGATGCGAAGCAATTAACCTAATCTAACTTATTTTTTCTTTCTTTTTTACCGCTCGTTGAGACCTTGTCTTCGACTTCGACTCGTCGAATAACCAGGAGCCAATCCTTCAAAAATAACTGTGACAAGAAGCACCGAATAATCCCCAAGAGATTCCTTTTTGGCGCGCATACTCAAGACACATAGAACCCGCCAAGCAAATTGGACTGCCAGTCTAGGCCGCGGACAGAACCGAATACAACCCCCCCTGCCTCCATTCACCCTCGTCACGGATCAAACTCATCAATCTGTTTCAGGAAGTTCAGCACGTCCAAACTTCTATCGACTTCGCAAACAATAATCAATAATTAAAACCTCTCCCATCGATCTTTCATCATCCACAATACATCGCGACGTTTTCGTAGATCGGCGTTGATAGCCTCTACTAACGTCAAGATTGTTTTGTCGTCAACTAACTCCTTTGTTCTATTTTCATTACTCAGTTGTTCAGCCCCGCCAGGCTATTATTCGCATTGCTTGAAGCAGTGGAAGAAAAACTAGAGGGATAACAGGTTAACGGGTTAAGCGAATTGAAATCATCGACCGAGTCGTAACAATAACTTCGCCAATAAACATCTCGATCGTTCCCATCCTCTATTCGCACTCGCTATTTGTCCGACTCCTCACTTTCAGAGGAGTCCAGTACCAGCAATCTGGCGTTCGGACAAACATCTCCGTCCTTTTTGGCTGGGGATTCAGCGGGCTTCCGGCAGATCCCCTCTAATCAATCTTTTCACTCTCCAGAGCAAGAATACGCTCAATACTCGCAAGCGCAATATCCACAGCAGTACGTTGGTCGTCGCGATACCAAGATGGCCGCGAACAAGAGTAATCGGGCTAGCAGCCTAGCGAAATCTACCGGCGAGATATTCACTAGGAAATGGCCGCGCTTATTCTTCCTCGTTGCTGCTATACAAGCCGTTATTGTAATCGTCTTTGAGGCGTAAGTTGCTATCGCTGAATACTTCTCCCAGTCTCAAACTAATTGATTTCCCCTTGCTAGATACGCCTTTGCTCAGTTTCAAACTGGTCTTAAACACCTGAGGACTGTAGAAGACTGGGGTTCAGAAGAAAAGCGTGAAGATGGCATGGCTCAAATAAGAACCATCCCAACCTTCCTCGGCCTACTAATCCTTGGCTTCCTATACGATGTAGTGTTAGCTTGGGATGCACTGCGCATGAAGAACACAATTCAAGTCATCGGTCTCTGCGTCGCCAACCTTGCTCTTCTCATCTATAGCGCCCTCCAAATTGACCAGATCCACGTCGCCATTACCAAACTGAAGGGGTATAATGCTTTCGAAGACCTCAACGTATGGGAAGAAGTCCAAGGTGTTCTCATCGCCATGCCGTGCATCATCGCCCTCGCCAGCGTTGGTCTAAGTTTCATTGCTTGGAAACTTTACCAGGAATTCGCCTGGGATATCCTGAAGCATATAGGAGCCGACTACAGGATGAAGAAGCGATTCCTGCACTACCAGGTTTGTCACACGTCATGTTATATCGCTCCTATACAAGACTAATCATGTTTGGCAGGTCTACATTGCTCTTTTGAAATTCGATTTCTTCTTCTTTGTCGGTTTCACTATCCAGTTCCTAGTCGTGGTCGGAGGCAAGACAACTACCGAATTCAGCCTAACTGCTGCTGCTATCCCTATCACTATCGTCATTCTCCTCTGTGCGGCATTGTTTACGCGACGGGAGTGGAAGCTAGGCATGATCGTTATCATGATCCTCTATCTCGGCGGTCTTACGTATTTCATCTACAAGCTTGAGCGAATCTTCGATCCTTACGAATCCAAGTATTACCTACCTGTTCGCAAATCTTTGACGACGTTTGCAGTACTCACTATCGTCTTGATCATTCTGACCATCATCAACGCTCTGGTCTGTATGTTCAACTTCGGTGCCGGTCTAAAGCAGCACCTCAATGCTCCTCGAGAGGAGATCGATAAGGACCAAGCCAGTTATTCCATGCATGATGTCAAACAGCCGCAGCTGCCGAGCAGAATGACGATCGACTAGTCATGAGGTAGCAAATAGGTGTACAAAGCGATACGATTAAACGACTTCTTAGTTTCGAGCATTTTCTTTATTTTTCAGATATCCCAAGTATTGTAGTTTTCTCGTAAAACGAGGAATGATTTTTGCGAATTTCGTTTGTCCTTTTCTGGCGTTTGATCGGGTCGAGATCTAGTTTCGACCTCCGATGGAGTTACGGGACAAACATTCTGCGCCCCAAGTGTGCCGCGTCAGACTTGGTGGAAATCTGGATAGCATTCACCCGACAGGGAAGAGGTCATTGCGGTACCAGCGCGTTAGTAGTAGACAGGTACTCAGGTGATCAGGGAATACCCCCATCTCCAGTTCGATATTTCTCGCTGGAGGGTTCAGGTTGCATGGTTCGCGGGTCTCTTCTGGTAGAGATGATGACAAACATCAAAGTCAGACTTATAAGCACATAGTCTATGTAGTTACCTAGCAGAATAGAAGCAGATATTCTGCGGTTTGATTCGTTATACGTTTACATTTTTAATGGTACTGAAGACTACCTGCCCAAGGTAACTTTGCCCTCTTAATAGGTTAATAACACTAAACGTCAAGTCTCGAAAATCTATGCAGGACTAAAGGTTAATGGTAAGGCTGTGGGAATAGTAAAGTTACCTAATATCATCCGAAGTTAGGGGTGGATGCCGTATAGCCGGATGAATCATACAAAGGACTAAATTCCATCTCAAAAATCCTATATGCCTTTCTCCAGCGTTGCTAGCAGCGAGCTAAACGAGGTATCCAGTCTGCTTTGACTTATAGAATGAGACTCCACTTACAATAATACTAGGAGACGGAATACCGGCCGGCAGCTGAATGTTTAAGACTTGCTTGATACCGCTACTCTATGGGCACGAAAGGGGGTGAATTAACTATATAGCTCGGGTGCGGCTACGGGAAATCGGCACACGTCTTTTTACACGATGCAGCTTGAACCCTGGGAGGTCTTGCGCTTGCAATAGGTACGCTTAGATTAATCTGTTGATGCTAATCAGCCTTTGAAAACGGCGAGAAGAGCTTATAAGTGGTAGACAAAGCTTTCCTAGTAAGCAGTAGTAAACAAGTGGTGTATACATATGCAATGCGTAAGGGTTAATCTTACTTGACTATTAGATCTACTACCTAGTTACGTATAGAGCTGAGCATAAATAGATAAAAAAGGAGTATGATTGTTTCGAGGTTAAATTAGAAAGGAATCGATCCGAGTAGAGAGCAGAGTAATATAATTTTATCCTTTTAGTCGACAAGACGTTGGAGCACGGAATAGAAGTAGTAAAGCAAACAGGTTGCCAAACATACTATTATACCAAAAGGCAATTTCGCTATGGGGTATTATACAGGAAGACAAGGAAAATATGGTTGGGATTGGGGGATACCGCGTAACTTTTTAACTTTTACTCAATGATAATAACTAAAAACAACTTCTGTAATAGATGCTTTAGGCTAGGTGGGTTATTCAATACAGCCCAAAGTGTTGCTCTCTTATCTTTCCGGGAATATGGTGCTATGTTTAATCTCCAAACACTCATCTTTCTTTTATTAGTTCCGTTTATTGTTACTTATGTTTTTACTACCTTGCCTTTTGTGAGAAAAGGGGTTATACTCACCATTTCATAGCCAGTTGATCGTATGGCTCTTCATTTGTACTCCCCTTGTTGTCAAGATGCTCTCTTTGCTTCGCCCTTTTACACTTGGGCGTATGGTTACAACTTAGCCCTCATCTTATACGAGTGATAATTCTCAATAGCAAGTTGCAATGCCAATATTAAAAACACCAGTCTAAATATTCTACAGGTATTAAATTATTGAACTCCTCTAAACGAAGCAAAATAATTTCTACGAAGTTGTCCAAGACAAGTTTATGCTAGTTGCTTGAATACGTCACTCGCATACGAAGGAATATTCAAAACATTCTGCTTCCATGACATGTAATTTTACTCTTCAATTGTATTATATCTCAAATCCTAGCATGGAGGATGGAATAAATATACTCCGGAGACTTCATTATAATCATGTAAAGCACCTGTAAAGTCCCTAAATAGGTACGTTAAGTACGTTCTGGCGTATTGACGCCCGAGTTGAGTTTTGGCACACCGTCCTCCAAGACCCTCGTGAGAGCGAGACCCCCTGACCGACCTTACCGCCATACGCCGGATTCAATTAATCAATACCATTTCCAGCCAATAGGTGAGAAAACAATGCGCGCAATGCCCAACAAATCAATATCTGTCCTATAACATGCTTACAGTATGATCTCCTTTGCGTCCTTAACAACACCTTCACTAGGGCAGTACGGGCACTTGTACCGGCTACCTTTAGCTAGCCTGTGCAAACTCTCCTTTGCTAAAACGTGACCACAAGGTAGGATGACAGGCGGGTTTGATTCCGTAGTTTGTTCCTTGCTCACGGGGCATACAAAAATAGAGTGGTACATCATGCTCCGAGGAAGCGGCGTCTCGAAAGCTAGCTCGTTGGCCGTCGTCCACTCGGTGCCCTTCGCCTTTGTTTTGGAGTTATACTTCACCAATTGAGGCAAAGCTAGAGCCCCGGCCGTAGCTGCGACATAGAGGGGTGATTCGGCTGATAAACCCAGAAGTGAGCAGAATTCTCGAGTAAACGATGCCGAGACCTCATCGAAGGCTGCCGAGATGTCAAATATAGAACTATACGGCGAGTCTGCTAGGTTCCGGGAATACACCATTGCGGCGCTGAGCTGTCGAATCTCACGCAAATGGCGGTGCTGGAAACGACCAAAGTTCTCCCTAGCATATTGTAGTGCACCCTGCACCCCATTCTCTGACGTATTAGGCAGACCGTTGATTTCAGGGCCTTTAAACAGCCATATGAACTGTAGCTTGCAGAGCTCAAACTCCAGGTTGGATCCCCGCGCCTCAAGTTCTACGCAATTCTCTCTGGCCCAGCTTATAGCAGGTAATAGGTTGTGTGCTTTGAGGGCAGAGAGAATGGAGTACATATCGGCGAAGGAGGATTGGAGGGCTTGAGAATGGAATGCCGTTAGGTCGGAGGGAATATCGGTATCGGATATGATGGCGTCGGTAGGTGGTAGGTATTCGGGGGACATGACTGGATGGAAATCAGAGTCAGATGGTTGAGATTTGGGCTGCTGAATCTGCGTAGGCTCGGGTTGTTGATGTGCTTCGTTGATAAATGTCGAGGCCACGCCAAACTGGCCTTCTCGTAATAGATGCATGACGATAGCGCGATTTATAAGAGTCGAGTGCGACTCCATGGGGTCGTGTTCGGTAGGTAGAGTGCCCTGAGCTTTAGGAAGGGCATTCTTTAGGGACTTGTTGAACTCATTTTGGGCCTTGTAGACATGTCTTAAATTACTATTTAAGACGTCTAGTTGCTCCTTTATGGGATTTTGTAGTTTGGCGAGGGTTAGATTAGTAGTATGAGGGTTATTTGCTGTGGCATTGGAGTTAGTGATATGTCGTGAGGGGAAATGGTGTTAATTCGAGAATCTCTTATTTACCTGATGCCACCCTTTCTCGCGCAGCGGTGAGAAGTTCTATGACCTTGTCGACATCTTGTACCGCATCGGATAACTTAGCTGAGCCAGTCAGCTTGTCGAGGTCCTTCTGTAATTGTAAAAAGGCCATTTTGAAATTGAGCACGAGACCTTCGAGATTGACTAGTAAACCTGTACTTGTGCTTGTGTCCTCGTTATGAAAGTTTCAACTTTGCGCAAAAAAGAAGGGCTTCCGACCTTTACTTCGTCTCGGAGAACCACTAGATATTTTTCATTCTGGCAAAATATGCTAGACTAATTGGTGAAAGATTTAAGTCGAATCCCCGAGTTTATAATAGACAAAGAAAGTTTTCAAGGCCCAGGGGGGTTTGTCGGAATAACGTATTGAAGTAGCGGGTTAAGAGTTGTACGGTCAAACTCAAAGTCAGATGATGGCGACCTGCATTGTTTTGCGCCAGTTACGATACCGATTAAGCGGTTAGGTTAGTTACATACCTGGCCTCGCGGTAACCCCGGATATTAATTTCTTCGTATGAACAGTCGGGCCTGCCCAGAATCGCATGATTTAGCCTGTAACTAGGACTATCCATTGACTGTCTCTTTTATAGATGTGGGGATGTTACTTACCTAGGTAGGTAGCAATGACGCAGATAACCCCACTTAGTTGCATTCCCCTGCGCTACGTTTGTTAGTTGGCTCCAATACCGACAGTCCAGACAGCCCTTCAGGAGAGCTCCCTTTATTACTTTACCGTGGTACTTACACGGACCAACGAAGCGGTAACTCTTGATTACCTAGGACCTAGGTAGGGGTAGCTAACCTGTTAACTCAACTAATTCACCTTTTGGAATTTTAAAGTAACATTTGACACCACTTACGTTACCACATTCGTCGTCACATGCCAACTTTCAATACGGAATACTGCCTACTGCCTACCGCCTACCAAATTCCATTGTGTTACTGCGTCATCTTTGTTTAACTTAGCCGGTCACTATGTTTTTGTTATCGAATTTCAGCGCATGATGAACTCTAGATCAGTACGAGACAGAGGGTTAGGAGTGCAACCATGTCGTTGCGACCGCTTGTATCCTCGATTGAACATAGGGGACAACGCGATGATGAATCGGCAGCTATGAGGACCTCGGCGCAAAGGAATATGGCCTCAAGCCAGCTGGATCGGGTGACGACAGCCTCCCCCGACTCGAGACAAATTACATCTACGCATCCTTCGCGCCGCCGTGTCATTATTCCAGACCCCGTAGCTTTCAGATATCTTGAAGGGGACCCGTGTGTTACTATCGCTGAGCAAAGTCGAGAAATCCGAGGGTATGAGTTGTACCTAGTTGAACAATGGGCTTGTTCCCGCCAGTCGCCCACCGTGGTTATCGTTACATATACCGGGGATAACAAACATGTCGTTGTTGTGGGTGTCCTAAGTGTTCCAGCCGACGAGAGGGCGTGGTCACCGAAATTGCGTCTCTATTTTAAAGCTATCCAGCAGTACCATGCACGACCAAAAGAAACGGATTATGGCGAGTTGATGGTAACAAACCTGAGTAGCTTTCCTTCTGCTTTAACCGTTATACTAGTTCCCGACGGCGACATAAAAAAACATCGAAGGGAATTTATCGTCATTGAAGATCTCAAAAGGCTCGGATGTTCTGGTCGATCTGGCATGACCCTGTCTGAGCCCACTGGAGCCGCCAAAGCCAAGTTCTACCAGTTATATAAGACAACTGAGAAGATGCCATTTTCAGACGTCGTTATTGAATTGGTTAAGATTTGCCAAGTGGCCCTCTTATTGTTTGGAAAATTGGAACAGGTTTATATTGATGGGCTGCTGTGCGATGTAACCGAGACTGCTATTGGGGATTGGTGGACGGAGTTCGGAGCTGAATACTACAATATAGAACCGGCGGATGGGATTTTAGGTCCGACGACTGTTGCTGCATTGCTTGGTTTATTAATGGGCGCGCGAAATAGGTTGAGTTATTTTGGAGCACCTGTCCCAAAAGATGTATTCGATATCGACGCCACCGAGAAAGGTATTTCTCACTTCCAAAAATACCAGAAGCTGGAGAGAACACGCCGGTTGGATCGGCAAACTATGCACAAGCTTCATACCGTAACTGCAAAAGCAGCCGCAGGCGAAGGTTGGGGCGTACAAAAAGCAGTCAAATCAACAATGACTGAAATAGGTGGAAAGCGAGGCGAGATTGTTCTTGGTATGGTCAGTGGACGCGACAAAGGTGGGATCGGAGATATTGAGACTCTAGATCTTGATAGGTTCATCAGCTTAGCCTCTGGAGAGCGAGCGAAGTGGCTATGGTTCGGCAAGCCTAAACGTTCTACGGCTGACAGTCACGAAAAGCCTATTCCCGATATGAGTAATATCCTATTCGGCAAGGAAGAGCCCTCTAGTCAAGCAAAGAGAACGCATTCGACACCTTTGGAGGAAGAGACAGAAACTCGCCGGCGAGAAGACACTCCTGTTTATTCGACTCCAGCTCCCGGGTCCGCGGTTAGCATAACGGATAGTCCCGGGGATAAGGATGCTATCCGGCGTGGATTCAAGAGCGTCGCTCGAGATGCTCGTTCAGGTCTTGGACGTATAAAGGATGCTGTTTATAGTGGAGGTGGTCTACGTGGTCACAACAATCGGCTGTCGAAAGACGAACCTTCGGAAACCACGATTACCGGGCCGCGATCGTCTATGCTCTCCGATTCCTCTACGGCGATTACGACAAGTCCAAGTTCTGGTCTGGGTCCAGGACAGATTGGTAGAGCATTTACTTGGAAGACTAAGCCGGAAGAGTACCTAAGCGCCATAAGGAGAGACAGGGAAATTGAATCCGCCCCGGCCTCGGTAGCCTTACTAGGAACAGAGGAATCGCCCGTTAAAGAACTACGGCCAATGCCTAAAGCGAATGGCCACGTGCAAAGATCGATAAACGAGGACTTTAAACGTGGTTCGCAAGCCATAGAGGTTCGAAATGAAGTAACAGCGGTGGTCGAATCTTCAGTGACAAATTCGGTTGTTGCTGAAAGTGATCTTCAAGGACCGTTTGTCGAGACGGAGCAGCAGCAGTTTGGTACTATTCTACCTAGTCTATATAGACGTCACAGTATTGGGGTTTCACGGCTTCCAGAACGATGCTCCTTGAATGAGGCTAGATGGGCGCGGAGACTTTCCTTCGGAGACGCTGAAGAAGCCGTCCTTCGGTGGGAAGAGGTAATTAGCCTCGACCAGAACGCGAATTCGGATAGCATAGAAGTGCCAGAGAAGCATGAATACTTGGCGGAACTTGCTAGGAGTCTATACGTGAATATTTTTGACGTTAAGCAGAGCATTGAGCCGTGGGCCGATTCTAAGGTCAAATCAGTCGTGGAGTTGGATGATTATTACGCGCGTCAACAAGAGGAATTACAGGCACTCTATGATCAGCTCACCGATGCATACAGACGGACCAAAGAGGATTCTCAAGAGACAATCGCAGCTCAAAGGGCGCGTATCACGGAAGCACTTGGAGACGTCGGAGTACAGGCGGCTAAGCTAGAGTACGAGATTAACGCTCTTGTCTCCCGTGTCCAAGATGTAGAGGAAGGCGTTGCACAATTCGAGATACAAGTGGACGACGTGGAACGGAGGGCAGATGAGCTAAAGAAACAACTCGAAACAGAAAGCTGGCTACACTGGGCGATGCGAACGCTGACAGGAATCGGTACGGGTCCGAACATTACGAGACCACGGCAAGAACCTCAACATCAGGAATGATTATTCATTAATCATATTCTAATTCGAAGCATGATACTTGTACTATTTTGAAGATATCCTTTAATTACCTTAAGGTCTGGGAAGGGAAAAAAGGAGAGAGCATATAGCATTTGGCGAAGCGAGCATTTGGAGTTAGCAAGTCATTATCGTTACTTACTAAATTACTTGTATATATAGATACCCGGGTTGGCGTAATAGATTTCATTACTATTGTATCTACTTCTTAGTTAGTATGATCTTGACATTCTTGAATTTCTTTTATGACTATTATTAGTGACATCAATACTTGCTCTAGTAGTGGAGTAAAATATACCTACATAACGTATGGAGGATAGGAGACCAGATGGCACCAGCTGGAAGATTTCTTGACGTAATTGAGTTGGGTACTTATCCTTAAGTACCTATCATGTATTATGGCCCGAGCCGGAAATGTCCGATTAAATAACTTCCATACCTGACTTGATGTGGAACAAGTTGTGGAGTACGGATTAGAGAACGGCCTAGATAGGGCGGATAAGCGTAAATTATCATTATCGGTCATTATCATCACGTGATTTAGGCTTTTACCAATGATGTACCTCTATGTAAGTCGTCCGGACTTAGTCGTTCGGGGGTCGGGTCATGCAATGTAATAACCTTACCTTAATAACCCGATTGCATTGGGAGCGAGAAAAAGTTACTTCTTCATTCCTATCTTTCTCAACGTTTACTTTTGTACACAACTTTCTTGCAACAACCACACATACACATACATACATACACACACACACACACACACTCGCGCCTTTACACCCTCGCACTTACACACCCACTGTCATTCCTAAAGTTATCTTTCTACTTCTGTATGCTCAATTAGTCCATCGTTATCTTCGCCCCCCTTATCGATATGAGCGCATCCTCTAGAACCGCTGCCCGCAAGGCGGTTTTAATAAATCCCTTTGCAGGGAGGGCTGCTGCTCGACCTGGCCTTGCCCTTCCATCAGCCTACCTTGGACGACAGAGTCGGCAGTTTCCTTCAGATTTCGCCGTGCGAGCCCTTCTGATTCCTATTCGAAGTATATCAACCGAACGGCATTCAGTTGGGCTCTCCGACGTACCACCCCCTGGTTTCAACGCAGAGCAGGCCAAGAAGCCTCTCCCAAAGACAGATACGCCTGCCTCGAGCAAGAAGGCGTCCGAGGCTAAAGCAAAAGCAACCGAGGACGCAACCGCTGCAAAGGCAACACAATCTTCCACTGGCGAGCCCTCTGCAGAACCTAAGTCCTTGACCGAGTTGGCCGCGAAGAAGGCAGCAGAAGTTGAGAAGCAGGAAGGGAAACAGGAGAAGAAGTTGACTCTCGGACAAAAGATCAAGCATGAAATCCAACACTACTGGGACGGTACAAAGCTTCTGGCGACGGAAGTCAGGATCAGCAGCAAACTAGCATTAAAGATGGCTGCCGGTTACGAACTGACCCGACGAGAGAACCGACAACTGCAACGCACAGTTCAGGATCTTGGACGCTTAGTTCCATTTTCAGTCTTCGTCATCGTTCCCTTTGCCGAAGCGCTCCTACCTATCGCCCTAAGATTGTTCCCCAATATGCTGCCTAGTACATACGAAGCCCAGCAGTCCAAGGACAAGAAGGCGGCGACGCTACGTGCGACACGTAAAGAGGTCAGCGTTTTCCTCCGGGAGACTCTAAAGGAGACGGGGCTTCCTCTGTCGCCTACGACGACGCAGAAAGAGGAGTTCGCTACGTTCTTCCGAAAATTACGGGCCACCGGGGAGAAGCCTAGCACAGATGACGTGATTAAGGTTTGCAAGGCCTTTAGGGACGACTTGACTCTTGACAATTTGTCAAGGCCGCAGCTCGTATCTATGTGTCGGTACCTGAATTTGAATACGTTCGGTACGGACATCATGCTCAGGTACCAAATTCGTCACAGAATGAGGCAAATCAAGAGGGACGACAAGGCGATCAGCTACGAAGGTGTTGACAGTCTTAACGTCGCAGAACTACAGACTGCATGTGCCAGCCGAGGCATTAAAACGCATACAGTATCGCCCGCTCGACTACGAGAGGACCTTCAATCTTGGTTGGACCTACGATTAAAGCACGGTGTTCCTTCGACGCTGCTCGTGCTAAGCAATGCTTACATGTACGGCGAGAAGACAGAAGGTGGCTTCCACAGCCAGATCGAGGCCCTAACTGGTGTGCTATCATCTATCCCCGAGGAACTCTACCACGAGATCGAGCTTGAGGTGCACAATGCCGAGGGTGCGGCGACTAACAAGCAACGACTAGAGGTTCTGAAGGAGCAACAGGATCTGATCGAGGAAGAGAACGAGCAGAACCAGGAGAACCAGGACACGGGTCTCGCCACGCCCAAGGACGTGGAAGACATTGACGATAAAGAGGATCGTGCTCAAGCAGCGGCTGCAGAGCAGGGCCTTAACAAAGAAGTGGTGGTCGAAGCTGTCGATGCCGAGGCCGACCTGGTTCAAGCCAAGGATGCGCAGCAAGAGCAGCAGAAGGTTGTAGAAGAGAAGGTGGAGAAATAGAGAGATATGTTGCATCATGTAGGCCGCAGGGGCGATTAAGAAAAAACCAGTGCATGGAGGGACGGAACAACTGTTTAGCATCGCTTCTCTTTTGTTTAAACTTACAAAGTGTATTATGGCAACTGGGATGTTGCCGGTGTATCACAAGCGATCAAATGCAAGGGGACGGAGAAGGGAGACTAGGAGTAGCGGCTTTACATACCTAGGTGCCTACAATACTAGGGTGAAAGGGAGAGGAAGGGTTTAGGGTTCTATCATAGAAGAGACATCTCGTCACCATGGAATTGAGACGGCGAAAATAGACTACTTTGATCTTTTTTTTTTAATCGATTTTTTTTTTTCAATGATTTTGGAAATGGGTGTTTTGGAGGTTTCTTATTTGTTCTCGGTGAAGCTGATGATAGGTTTTTATATTGTATTAATGTGGTTATTAGTGTGGTGATGATTAATTAATTCGGGGGGGGGGGGGGGGGGGGGGGGGTGAGAGGATGCGTATGTACGTATGTATGTACACGTGAGCATCCTCGACTTTAGAATTTGGTGTTGTTGGCGCCATGGATTTGATGATGTGCATGTTTTTTATTTGCGGATTATATTGATTAGGCATGTTGCATCAGCATGTGTGTCTCGAGCTGATTGATCTACGGATCCGTACATATGGGCAGCTTCCATATGATCAACGGTATTAGCTGAGCCTCAATATATATGTATATGTATATGCACTAGACTATATAGAATGTAGACTGTAGAATTCCTACGCACTAATTGTTTATGGTGCGATTTGTTAGTTTAGGTAGTTAGAGGTTGTAGGATGTAGCAGTAGTACGGGGTAAAATGAAATGGTAAAATGGTGGTTTATTTATATCTCGCATGCCCTGTAAAAGGTAAGTAGGTACTAATGTAAGTGCCCACGTTTTGCGCAGCCTCAGATCGGACCTGGGTCAGGGGGGGATAGGGAGATGGGGATGTAACAGAGATTAGTGAGTGTAACTTGGTACGGCATAAGGAATCCTTCTACATATACTTATGTACTTGGGGTATAGATAGAAATATGCATCGGATGTGCATATTATGGATTACCTTATATAGACGGATATGAAACATGGGCTGGGCTCTAACAGCTGAAGGCTCGAAGAGGGAGGTGGCGCAGTCCCGATTAGGTAAGTCGTTGAGCAGGTCGTCATTCGTGAAATTTAAGGAAAAGGAATTTTTAAAAGGAACCCGGTGCAGCGGAAATTCTTGCATTGTACCTATGTAAGTAAGCTTAAATAAATCTACATGCACTATAATAATATATTTACCGACTGCCTTTTACGGAATTGGCATTGTCGCAGCCTTGCAGCCCCGTTCCATCCCCCCCCATCTCCATCCCATTGCTTTTTTTTTTCAAAACCGGAAGGGGCAAGAGATGGGTGCATGCAGGAGGTGAATATTAGTAGCCTATGTATGTATGTCGTGGGGGGAAGGGGGGTTTATAGACTATAGTTTGGAGATATAGACCGGGGGGGTTTTTACAGTTTGTTGTGAGGCTCAAGACCTTTTTACATACCTTATAGTAGAAGATCATATAACTACCTAAGTATGCTGAGAAACGAACAGTCTAGCTTAGGTACGAAATAAGTATACGATATAGGGGAGGATGAGGACGAAGATGAAGATGTATAAGTCAGATTCATCTCAAGGTAAGTATTTGCGAGACGAGAACAGCTTAGATCATCCCATCCATCCCATCCATCCATATCCATTTTAGCTATTCGGCGTGTGCTATGTAGATTGCACATTGCACATTTTTTAATATAAGTCAAGGTGGTTCAACGGAGCGTTCGTCTTGGCAGATGGCTCGTTTCGGTTTCATGACGGGGTGAGCCAACGGTTGAAAAAGCTTGAAAGCTTGAACCCTGGCTCCTCTCCCGAAATCCTTCTGCCCGATCCGTAGGCGGTCGAATACCAAAATACCACAAGCCACTTTCGGCTTTAGTGAGACCACGGGGGGAGAGGAGAACGTCGGTCTGGCCCAGGGGAGTAAGTAAGTAAGTAATTGACTACGAGAGGATCGGATGCGGTCCTAATTCTATTATTCTGTTCTTGTTATTATATGTGTGATGGGTTAGGGAAGAAGGAATCTAATATTTTTCCTTTTCTACTCCTTCTTCTTCTTCTTCTACTACTACTACTTCTACCTTCTACCTTCTACCTCTCTCCTCTAGGTATATTACCTACGTCTTTCCTTAACATTGTGTTGTACATGATGAGTTTGTGGTGAAGCCTTCATTCCTCCCATCCTTTCTCGTTTTATCGTCGTCTCTCTTTTTTCTTTTCGCTCTTTCTCTGTTATCCGATCGTTCGGTGGATGCTCCGGCCAGCAACCGACTATATACATTCATTTTCTTCGTAGCAGGAACTAGGCAACTATGCGTAGCTTACTGCCTCTCGCCTTGACCTGCTGGTCGCTGCTGGCGCCGGTGACCGCTTCACCTCTTTCAGATTTGCTTATGCCTTGGGAGAGACGCGATATTCAACCTGCGCCGCGGCCGATAAGGACGAGGTCCATGATCAAGCGCGATGCCGATACGACTTTCAGTTTCGATCATGACTTTTCAGATGTGACTTTGTTTTCAGGGTATGCAACTCTTTTCAACTTCTCTTCTCCTATATCTCACTTATATAATTATATAATTATATATGCAAACATATATGCTAACGATCAACAGTGCTTGGACCGCCACAAAGGGAGTTGATATCTCATTGGATTTATCCTGCAGCGAATGCAATACTTTCGGTACCATCAGGGCATCTGCTGAATTCCCGGATGATCTCGGGGACTTCCTCCACGATATCAAAGATTTCAACCCGCTCAACGACGCCAGCTTGACGATTGGCTTCGAAGGAGTTGGTGCCACTATCGGTATAAGACTGGCCGTCGACGGTGATGGCCAGTTCACCATCCCGCTATTCAAGTCCGAGACACCCCTCGGCATTTCTGTAAGTCTAGAAGCGGAATAAAGCCAATAATGTTAAAAGGCTCTGTAGGCTAACAGATGACGAATATAGGGCCCTGGATTCCAAGTCGGTATTACTTTCAACGTGGACCTCATCGTTAGTGTGACGGCCGAGATCTCGACCGAGACTGGTTTCGAAGTTACTATCCCTGATGGATCGTCTTATAAGATACCTCTCGACCCTAGCATTCCCAACACTGCCAACTTGTAAGTTTCTCATCTCCTCTCCCCTCCCTACTCCTGAACTATCAGATCAGGCTGGGAAACCCAAATGAAACCAGACAAGAATACAATTTCTAACCACCATCACAGCGACGGCGCCCAGACGACTCTTCTCCCCTTAACCGTTGACGCTCCTGCTGAGATCACCGTGGCGCTGCGCCTGCGTGTCCAGGCCGGTGTAGACCTACCCGGTAACAAGCTCTTCGACGCGCAGGCTCTCGTCGGCGCGTTCTTGTACATCCCCGAGGTGACACTGACGGAAGAGTTCTCGCAACAATTCGACCGCAACGGCAGCATCACCGAGGCAGGCGAATGTCTACTTCCCGCGTCCGCGGATATTAACATTAACGCGGGCGTGTTCGTCGACATCGGTGCGGATGTGGCCAACAACCCCATTGTTGACTTCAACCCTACGCTCAGTACTACCGTCTTCACCGCGTCTACCAGCACTTGCTTCTTGACTGCCACCGGCACCCCTGAGCCTACTCCTGCGCTAGGAACGGGCAAGAAGCCCGTCGGCACGGGTATCCGCACTCGATCTAGAGTATCGTCTAAGACGACGGCAGCAGCCAAGCCCACCATCACGAGAAAACCACTTGTTACTGGCACCGGCTCGACTTCTCTCGCACCCCCCGAGATGACACCCCCAGCCTCCGTCTTGGCCTGCCCCGTACCCCTCGTCACCGAGAAGCACACTACGACAGGCAAGTACACTATCACGGAGTGTGCCGCGCAAGTCATGAACTGCCCAGCAAGCCTGACCCAGATCGTCGTCGTCGACGACACCGCCACCCTAACCACAACACACTGCCCCGTCTCCGCAACCGGCGCACCCTACGCCAACGCCACCATCCCTCTCCAGCGCGGCAACCCCATCCCGCTGAACAGCCTAACGGCACCAATCGTCAACACCTTGTCCATCGACCCTCTAGTCGTCGTGCCCACCGCAACCAGCGTCCAGGCCACGCCTCGCGCCAAGAAGACTCCCGAGCCGGAGCAAGAGCCAGAGCCAGAGCCAACCCCGGCCCCAGCTGCAACTCCAGCTCCAGTCCCTTCGCCCGCCGAGCCTGTTCCTACCGAGCCCGTAGCGCAGGACGATTCCGCCCCAGCTCCAGCTCCGGCTGTACCCGCGGACGCGAACAACGCCGCCCAGCCGTCTGTCATCTACAAGACCAAGACGGAGATTATAACCACAACCCGATGCCCCGACGCGCACACGAAGCGCGCATCGCCTTCGCTGCGGCGGCGTCGGGCTATCCACTAGGTAGTTTTTATGTCTTACCCTAGCCTACCTCGGTAACTCTGGCTCTAAGTCGGGTAGTCTAAGTAAGTCCATGGGTTACATCCTGCTGAAACACGCGGATTGCCTGGACAGACTAAACTACTACCTAAGGCAGATGCAAAAAAAACAAGGGGTTAATATTCATCCGTGTAAAATAAGAAAAGGTATAAGATATGATGATTAGGGGGGGGGGGGGGAGGCATTTTGTTTTTCTTTTTTCCCACAGGAGATATGATGGGATAGGAATGGTTGAATAGAGCGAGATACCATAGGCGAACAAACAAACGACGGGAAAGGAGAAGGCTCCAACCCAGGGGGCAGCTTGAGGCCGTCGCGAAATGTACAGCGTTTTTCTTCTTGTATATACCTTTGCGCATTTTGTAATTTTATTCAAAAAAAGGGACATAGATTATTCGAGGTACGAATATTGATTGACCATTGTGGTAGTAGTGTCTTGTGAAATTGAAACTGTGTAATGCAAGTAAATTGGTCTGTAA